TTACAATTATTTTTAATTTTATTAATGTTAAAAAAATAAAAAAAATCCAAAGGTACTAAAATGTGAAAAAACCGGGGTGGGGGGTTGGGAGGGTTGTTGCTTAGACTACGTATGAGGGGGGATGTTGTGACTAGCAGAGGAAGGTTTAGGTATGGTTACTATTCTTAATCGAGAAGGTCTTCTTGACTGCTTTACCAACTGTGTGGCGTGGGGTATTGTTCACGAGCTTGGCAGGGGCGGCCGGATGAGCAGAGTGAGTACTGCAGGTATGCGCATAAGGTCTCTTGTCAGATGCGCCTACACAGTTCTGCGGGTAGGCCCGTCTGCCCAGACACTCCGAATTAGGTACCACCAATCATCCACGGCGTCACCGCTCTAGGTTGATATCATGATCTCCGGTCATCGGCAGACAAATCTAGATTCTAACATCCGACCGGCGACCGGCCGCATGAAAGAAATACCACCCGACTTTGGCCCCAGCGGGAGACAGATCATCTGGCTGACTACTCTCATGACTAAGGGGGTTTCCAAACCCGAGGTTGCACGAGTTCAGGGATGGAGATGCCCGCCTTTTGCGCCACATTTCGATATTATATGTGTATGTATATGTGTCATTTATTCGCTGCGGGTGTCACACTATTTACCCTGGTACAGCGGAATTCGGGGTTGGGGGTACGAGGCTCGGAAAGTCGGAAGAGTTGAGTGTCACGAATGGAGATTAGGTACCTGATGACAGATATGTGGGAGACACAGAAGGTCGGGCTATGAGTAAGCGAATGCAGTTTTTGAGACTTGGGACTGGTTGGGCTGGGTGGTATGACCTCAGTTTTGGAGTGGGAAGGCTGTGAGAGGGGGTTAGTAATGGGGTGTGGGTGTGTCTCGGCCTCGGTTGTCAAATGTAGAGTGATCAATGGTTGATGGGGGCGGAATTGCTGAAGGCTTTCTCGTCTCTGGTGTAAAATTGCTGGGTTGAGGGAGCTGAAGGTGAGTGTTGAGATGGGTTACCTATATAACGGATGAGATGTGGATATTTCGCCCCCTTGGATTTTGTTGCAAGTTTCACAGCTTTTTTATTTCTTTGTCTCATAAGAAATGGCTGAGGCATCGTCATCGTCACATCCAGCGAGGAAGAGAAGGCCCCATAAAAGGAGTCGACATGGCTGTCTGACATGCAAGCAGCGGCATATTCGATGTGACGAGCTCAAACCGGTCTGGTGGGCACAAGCTTTGATCTACCTATGTCTTGTGCGTATGGCTAACGGGAGTAGCACCAACTGTCTGACACGTGGGGGGGAATGCGGTTATGCTGCTGAAGGAGCCAGGGGTGCATCTGATTCCCCTTCGTCGGCAGCTGCAACAATGCAACCACCTCTGGTAGCGTACCTGAGCTCACCGGCAGATCCATTTGATACATTGCCTATCAAAATGCCATATCGGTCGTTGGAGCTGTTCAATCACTGTATGGATCCAGCATGCATGTTGACTTGATAAAGGGGGTGAGGCTGATATTCAGGGGGAAAGTTGCCAACTATCGGATCTTCAGCCGGACGGCTGTACCGAAGAGTGCGAGTTCCCAGTGGTTAGTTACAGCCTCCTTACTTGACAAGAATGGGCAATATAGCTGACAGAACACTGTCGGAATCGCCCTCTCCAATCCAGACACATTTCGAGCCTGTCTCATCATGAGTGCGCTGCACTATTCCCGAATCAGTGGCGGCCTAAGGGAGTCCGAGATGGAAGAGACGTACTTGTACCACAAGCTCGAGGCGATGAGGACTCTAAACAGCAAAGTTACAGACTTGGAAACGTGCACTAGTGATGGGTGTCTGAGCTTGATTGCTGGGTTAGCTTTGGCTGAAGTAATACCTTTGTTCTTCTTAGGCCTGTATCGCACTGCTAACAATCTTAAGGGTGGCATGGGTGACCCAACTGCCGCCGAGGCACATATCAATGGTCTCTGTACTTTGATCGACATGAAGCGCCCCGAGGAATGGCAGCATCGGTTCTATGGGATGCTTCAAAGAATCATTCTGATGTAAGTTGAATACACCGTTACCAATCCCAGGCAGATTTCAGTCTTTCGAACCTCTGCTTCACTTTTCCGATGTCTGTACTAAATGTTTATCAAAAGGGCTGGCAGTTACATTGCTGCATCCAGGGACCCGTTTCTAGAATCACACATCATCGAAACCGACTTGACCCTCTGCTATCCCCATCCATATTTCACCAAACCCACATCAACCCTGTTATCAACTGCTCAAGTCCAAGCCACTAGCCTCTCGCCCTTCTATCTGACCTCCACACCCTGTCTCGAGGCCTGCAAAGCCGATGTTGAGGGAGAAGTACTATTCAACGTCCTTGAGCGCCTCACCTCAATCTGCTTCACGCCATACGACAACAATAACAGCGAGACGACTTCACTCCTCCTCTCAGACACAGAGTCTTACATCGCCAGCCTGCTCTTTCAACCAGACCCTTCCTCGTCTTCACCATCCAAAGCTTCATTTCACAAGGACCGGCATCACAAAAAGAGCAAGAGAAAAGGCCACCCATACAGTCAAGCACCACCAATCTACTACCCAAGCTCAAGCCGTGCCTGGGCCGCAGCCGGTTACTTCTACACCCATCTCATATTATCCCCTCTCTGGACCCAAACCCACCAAGACGAGACCATAGACCCCGACCTCCTCTGGCATCTCCTCAACACCCTCCGAGAAGACATTACCAAAACCGAAGCAGCCATGAAAATTGGCGCCTACAGCCCAGAGCTGTGGATATGGGAGGTTGTCATAGCCGCCTACACCGTCCGTGTGTCTCTCCAGAGACAACAGCAACAGCAACAGCAACAACAAGACCCAATGACGACGGGCTTGGCAAGTGTAGCTGAGGACATCTTCAGCACTACATCATCAGAAGTTTTATCAACCTCTCAAACAGACATCTGGCCCGGCCTCACCTACGCCGAAAGTTCAGTTTCTTCATCTTCCTCGCAGGATCGTAGCGGTGCTTCTTCACCGTCTCACGACAATCCCGACCACCCGCACACTTATATTCCGCCTGTGTCACCTCCACCAAAGGATAACCTCCATTCCCTCAAGCTATTCTTCCGTCAGAAGATCGCCGTATGGAGCCAGAAAACCAGGGTTGCGGATTGGGAAGGGGCCAGGCAAATGCTGACTAGAATCGTGTGGCCCAATCAAAGCGCCGGCCAACTCACAAGTTATTCTGAAAGGCTAGATACGATCATGAAGACAATTTGGTACGAGGCCTGTCTTCGGTTGCAATGAGGTGTTCCCGTTGTAAACCACGAGCTTGACGTCAAGCACGCAATGTTTGGTACCCCTGAATCACAATACAGGGTTTCAATGGTCACGTTTGGAACCGCGTGCTTCTGAGGACAACCAAACCATCTAGGAGAACGGGCACGGTCGAGGAAATCTTTTGATATGAAGATGAGAATTCTGGTGGGGAGATAATGCCGATCATGTATATAATTGCACCAAAGCCTGCTTAATTTTTGCTTACTTTGGCACCCGTAAACCCCCCCCCCAAGGTAGCACGATGACTGTACCCCTTCTTTCTGCTTTCGACGACCCCCCCGCTGCGCTGGCTTGACTTCCCACTGGCTCCTCTTCGGTCCCGGGATATCACGGCATCTGAAGAACTGCGGCGAGTGAAGGAGCTCCCTGATCGGTCTCTTGACGGTGGCCTTCGAGTTCGGGATGGCGATCTAGGTGAAGGTGATCGTCTCCTCTTTGTAGACCTCGTAGATCGACGATGGGTTTGATGTCTTGACTGCCCATGCATGATGAATCCAGCACGGCCGAAACCCAATCCAGTGGGTCATCATCAGTTCGCGGGTACGGCAAAACCCAGGATGGATCAGGTCGACCCTTAAGAACCTGGGATATGTGGGGCAGTTGGGTAAATTCAGGACTCAGTCCCAGATTCCAGTTGCCCACGTCACTAGGCGCGTTCAGGCAAGTCTTAGGGACTCTCCTCGCTGTCGGGTGGTTCTCCGCGGTGGCCGGCAATAGCGCACGCCAGCCTAATCCAGAAGACTTGGCCCAATCCTTCGCAGTTCGACGCTCAGAATCTTGTGCCTCGAGGTCAGAATCGTACCGAAACACTTGGTTGACCTTCTCTGGATCCCCCGTCGCGGCAGCGTACATCAGCAAGGTCCTTCCCGGAACCCAAGTCAGCTTTTTGCCGTCACGGGTTATTGGAAGGCTTTGCATGATGTGTGACATTACACCATTGCGCTCGGTTCCCTCACCATAGATGGGGCTATCATCACGTCAAAAAACCCCAACCAAGCAATAGGGCCATGTCCTCGGGCCTGGTTGTAACTCGCCTTGACGCCCAGGACATTCTCTGCGCCACACTACAGGTGTGCAAGCTTGCAATGCCCGTGAGAATGTGGTGAGGTACTCCTGTGGCTTCCTCCATAATTGCCGATATGGAAGAACTTGTGCCCAGCTGAGTCCATCCCGAATCGAACAAGCTCATCTTCCGTGGTGCTAGGAGTTCCTGAAGCGTCCAACCACGTGCGGCTGTGGCAGACCTGATCCAACTGTCCTTGATGTACGTCGGAGAGGTAAGCGTAGCAAATTGCTGACTTTTCGTACCAACGAAACATGGAGTTGATGGCTTCGCTCAGCTTAACCGCGCGCTTGTCTTGCCGATACAACATGTGTCGATCCAACTGTAGGCAATGCCATCTTTGCAAGCTTGCCCACGGCAAAGTTCTAACTTTGCCTGGCGATTGATGTCGCATTGATCCAATGATTGCATGTCTTGGAATGATAACTCCTCATCTTTCGAGGCACTTGGTGCGAGCGTTGATGAGCCGCATTTCCCTCGCCGTAGATCTTGAGGTCTTGACTGTGGTGAGGTATACGAGGTACTAACGTACGACCAAAGAGCAAACAAAAGATCGAGTAGCGACTGTGCCCTGTCTAAGGTCTGGGAGGCGGTTACTGAGTTTGGGCTATGGTGGGAGGTTAAGTATCCTTGGGTTGGGAAACTGTGCCTTGCGCGGCTGCCCCGCCTCTGACTCCCCATACATGCATACATATGAGCCCGTGAATGGCGTTTTGGTGTCACAGTGACTTCAGGCACATAGCAACTATAAAAATTCTCCAACAGTTGTTGTCCCGTCGGATGTGGGCGATTACTGAGTACCTAGGTAGGTAAGCGAAATTTACAGGACGTGTGAGTGTGATGGAGCATAGCATAGGTTCCTACCATAGGAAAGATTTCGTGAAGCTCAGGCATCATAGTATATCAATCTTCCCACGCTGGCAGTGCCACCGCTCTAATGTAGGTACTTTAGCTGTTGCCTGAGATTGGCTTCAACTCAGGTTTCACCTTTGGGTGAGTTCGCCAACCGCCCATGGGGTTGGTGTCTGTGATCTGGCAGGTCTTCAAGTGTACGTTGGTTGAATTAGTACCTTGATCAACTACGCAAAGGATTCCGTCTTGTATGGTAACTCTCAACGATAACCAAAAACAAATTCATTTTATCACTTATATCTATGCAGCCGGCTCGTCCTCCTTCAAAGTCTGCTCATCATTCAACTTTGGATTCCGCAACGTCGACGCAAAAGCAATCAGCGGCACACACAAACAAATCCCCGTAATCGTCAACAGCCTCTGGGCGTACTTGTAAGAGTCGATCAACGCCTGCCGCTCGGGCGTGCCCACAGGGTACTGCTTCGCAAAGGCAAATGGATTCCCGTAAGCAGATGTTGCCAAGGTCTCATTGTTGAATCCCTCCATCCGCCAGGCAAGCTGGTTTGGCAAGACCTGAGTCCATATCCCGCCCGAGACAGCACCGCCAAATGCAGATCCGAGGTTGTAAGTGGCGAGGTAGAGGCCCGTCATGACAGCGAGATTCTCGTGCTTCAGCGCCACTTGAAGAGAGGCCTGCGCCGGGTAGGGAAACATGCCGCCGGCGATACCCAAAACAACCTGGGCGCCAACAACACCAGCTCGGCTGGACATGTCGGTATCACCTCGATACTTGATGAGGAGACCGAAAGCAACCATGAAGAGGCATGTTCCAACGACGATAAAGACTTTCAGCCGGCGGACCTTGTATACGACAAATCCGAGAACGGTGCCGGTAAGAACACTGAAAAATGTGTAGAAGGAAGACACCCGAGTGGCCGTCATGACGTCGAAATCGAAAGCAACGACCAGAACCGAATACAAGTAGTCGCCTTGCATATACCACGCCCAATTCAGCATCAAGGCGATTCCGAGGGCGGCCCACACAGCTCGATTCTTCATGAGTCTGAATGGCACAAGCGGTTGGGGGGTGTAGAGCTGCCACCCAATGAAGAGCGGTATCGCGGTGAAGCCAGCTATCAACGGGCCAAGGACATGAGCGCTGGTCCAGGATGTCTTGAAGCCACCTGCCAGCGTGACGGGTACCAAGAGCAAAGCGAAGACAGCAATCATGAGAATGATTCCGATGACATCGAGGCGCCAGAACAAGTACGCAAAAAATTTGCCCCAGGGGAGAGCTCTGATCGGGTCGACGTATCCATCCATCACATGTGACCTGCGGGCTCGACGGCCAGTTACCAGGAGACTGATGATCAGAGGCATGGCGCACACCGGATAGATGATACACCACATGCCGATGGCCCATCGCCAAGTTGTGACAGCAAGCACGGCCGAAGAAATGTTTCCGCTGACCCAAGTCAATACGAGGAACGAGGCGTTGGGGATGTAACTGAACAGCAGGCGAGCTCGGGTGGTGGTGATGTCGGCAATGATAACCTCGAGCAGTAAGATGATCATGGTGTATCCAATCTGGTAGATGAGCGCCCCGGTGGCAAATGTTTCGACATTTTGTGAAGTTGCCTCCAAGACGGTGCCGAGAGTGTAGAAAAAGACTGACAAACACACAAGCTCGACACGGCCAAAGATGTCGGCGATCCTGGCTGAGGTGGGTTGTGCTGCGGCGGCGATGACGGAGCGTAAAACGTTGACAGTTGCCAACAGCGAGTGCTTGGAGAAAGAAGCCGTGGCATTAGGCTGGTAAGCGTAGCGGAGCATGCCGTCGAGACCATAGGCGAAGGCAATTATGAAGACGCCAAAGAAGATGAAGACGTAGTCGGCCTTGGTGAGAACCGAAGCCAGCGCCTCGGCACGGCGGACACCAGGAGACTTTTCATCAGACAGAGCTGCTGCCGGCAACGGTGGAGCTTCTTTTGTTGTCGGCGAAGATTCCGCCCTGTCCGTCGTGGGATCATCATCACTGCCTTTGGTAGCCATGGCGAACGGAAGCTGTGCCCGGGGGCCGAGGGAGAAAATGACCGGGCAGCGGGTTGCCCTGGACGTGTCTAAAAAGGTAGGTTAACGTAGGCCAGGTTTTCCCAACGACAAAACAATTTTTAGGACCATGGAACAAAAATCTGCAGCATTCGTGTATGGTGCCGCCATTGTCGAAACTCTAATAACATGACATCATGACCCACCTTCCGAACTTCGATATCAAGCCACCAGAGCAGGTACGAGTTCCTCTTCCGTCAACTCCTCAGATACCCACAAACCCTCTCCCCCCACCTAACCCCCCCCTTATAAACCCACATCCCCTTCGCATTCCCCCCCCTCAACCCCTCCACCGCCACCGCCAGCTCCTCCCCCCTCCCCTCCCCCCTAATCTCATCCAACCCATACAAAAAGGTTTTGAAACTAAACACGATCCCCCTCGTCCCCGGCAGTCTCGTCAAGGTCTGCAACTCAACCCTCAACCTCGTCTGACTAACATCAATACCCTCCCTATCCTCCTCCGTCAAACTATCCACTTCATGCTCATGGATGTGGTTACCGCTCGGCGTGTACAGCTCCTTATGCGTCTGAAGCCCCCAGTTCACCCTCTTAACTGGCTTTCCCACTTCCAGTTTGGAGAAGAATTTCTCCATGCTAGCACCGATTTTGCCGTAGGAAGGAACAGGACCGTGGATGCCGGCTAGGGTTTGGTCTAGCTTTGTTGAAGGGTCGAAGCCGGAGGGGTGGCAGCAGAGGAAGGCCACGCAGCGGTGGAGGCCGGTAGCCGGGTCGGGGAGCAGGAGGAAGATGTCGTCTTCGATGGTTGTGGCCAGGGTGGAAAGGAGCTCGTCGGGGGGGAGGTCAAGGGGGGAGACTGGAGAGAGGCAAGAGGTGATTTTGTTGTGAAGGGTTGTTCGATCGGGAGAGAGGGAGAACATGGTTGGGTAGCGGGTGGGTAGGTAGGTGGCCATGAGGTAGGCGTAGAGCTCCCTGATGGGGGCGATGCCAGAGGGGATGTACCCTTTGACAACTTTTGGGTGGGAGGCCAGGATTGCTTTCCGAGCGGTGACTCGATCGAGATAGTTCTTATCCATGATGATCAGCTCTGACGGGGAGGAGGTCTGAATGGCCATGGTGATGTGGTATTTTGGCTTGAAGGGCCGGAGCTGGAGGGGTGGTGTGTCCTGCCATGAGAAGTCGTGAAGAGGTTCGATTTTGACCTCATTGTGGATGTCTTCATCGGTTGTCTGCTTCGCGATGCCGGGCTTCTCTCTGTTGTCGTTGAAGCTCGGATGAGGATAAGGTGATGCGGGCTGATGAGGAGGTGGGGATCGGCCCGAGAGTCGCCAAGCGACAACTGTTGCCGCGACGAGCAACAGTACCAGAAGCACCCCGATCATCAAAGACATGTTCAACAAAGTTATACACATGTCTCTGTTGGGGAAGTTGATATCTGTGTATTATAAGAAAAGAAGCCAATGTTTGGGCAAGAGCTCTGATATCATCTGACATCTCCCGTCCTCGGCCACCCCGAAAGATAGTGCCTACCCCACCTTGATCAAGATGACTCCAAGATCTGGGCTTTGATACGCCCACGTTGTCCACAGAACCTTTAGTAACGGCCACCGATCGGAGTGCATTCACAGGGATCCGCCATGCAGTTAGGCTGATCCAGACCCGGCTGGGGAGGACACTGCTCTCATCGAAATCATGCCTTCAAAGGGACTTGGTCGAAAGACTAACAAGGTTCATTGATAGAATATGGTCGGAACGTTTTCCAGAGATATACAACGGGGTATTCTTCTTAAACTAGTATAAGTCTTGTCCATTCAGGACTTTGCGGCCCTCCTTTATTCTTCCCCAACCAGGGGACATCAATGTAAAGCAACATGCTTTGAGCCGGCCATCTTTGACCGCACCAAACGGGTTCACCGCTGTCTGAGGTGTACACGAGGCATCTTGCACCTCGAACGTAATGTCTTTCTCCATCCGCATCTGGTCTTGGGCCGTCCAGCGGACACCGATCCCCTGCACAGAAGCCCAGGACCAAGTCGATTCAATGTAGCGTTCTGGTCGGGTGCCTATGTCGGCCTTATTTGTACATCACAAAAGGTCCGCGTCAGGTTTTTGGTTCCATAGCCCAGCCAAGTACACAGGGTAGGGGCACAGCCCTGTTGCGACTTTGGATGTGAGTCCTGAAAGCGCGGGCAGTCTGTCCGAGCGCACAGTCAGGGCCCGTTTCGAATAGTTTTCAACAACTCTCCCCCAGCTCTTGGAAAACAAATATCTCGTCCTGTCGACCTTGCAGAACCCTGACCCGCAGTCTTGGACAAGCTGTCTTAACTTAGCCCCAGACCTCTTCAACAGCCCATCCCGTTCACCCTTGCAAAATCAAACAATTGCGTGGGTTGCTGGACCATGCACCTGGCTCCCAGTGTATCCCATTAGCTCCGTTGGATGGCTCGAACCCTGAAGCTAAAAGATTGTATGATGCGTCGGAATGAGAGCAAGCTTGTGGAAAGTCCCAGTGAGAGGTACCACTCGACAGCTCTCGATCTTGCTCGGTACACTCACATCTTGTCAACTTTCCCATCCCGTCTCGAATTCTCCAAAATGCAAGACTCTCTTTGACAAGTTACGTTCTTGAAAGGCCCATGCCCGCGCTTGAAGTATAGACTCGTGATTTCTTGGTATCGTCGCGCTATCATTGTCATGAGGGCGGTTGGATGGCCGATGCGTTGGAGTCTCTCTGTAAGTGTTAACATACCACCCGTGCACCTGTATGGCTCAATGACCACTCTGAGATCTTCGTCAGGGATCCGCTTCCCGTGTAGCAATAGCCTGCTTTCATAGCATGATAAACCAGAACCACTGCTGTTCCCCACATCTGCCGCTATGGTGATAGTAGCGCCCACATATATGTTGTGCATCTGAGCGGCCTGCTCCTCCCAGTCCAGCATCGAATCCTGAATGATACAAAGAGCATCAACCCGAAGATATCGGAAGCCTAACTGGCGGGTGACGTGGATGGCGTGCTGAAGCGTGAGAGGCAGTGATGACGGAGAGACTGCTTGTCCGCTAGGCATACTTGACGGGCAGGAAACATGCAGGCTTCTTGCTGGCCCAATATCGTGGGAGTGCCCATGCAGTGACGGGGTAGGATAGTGAAATTCCGGAAAAAGAAAAAAAGGAAAAGAAAATTGATACAGTGGCTCAATATGTGGTCAAAAAAAGGTGTGGTAAAAGGTGATGAATTGAGAAAGAACTATCAAACAGGTGCTTCAATCAAATAGATGCTTGATGCGTGAGGGGCCCAAGCGGAGCGAGGTGGAACCCAGGGCTGATAAGAGAGAGCTCTATAAGGGGCGTGAAGAGTGTTGTGTGAATGGCCTCTCCCAACACTTCAGGTCTCAAAAGTGAATATCCAAAATGACCAAGCTTCAAACTGGGCCGGCATCTTTCCGCCCACTTGACAGTCACCCACCCCGCTACCAAACGCCTGTCGTGGGTGAGATTTCCGTAAGTATGTGGAATCCATGATGGAAATGGTTTTGATTGTCCAACCTACTATTGGGGGGGTGCAAATAGAGCAAGTGCCTTGACATGCCCTGATATATCTTTCTTAATCCGTTCATACATCACAGGTCCAAACGAGCAGCTGTCCAAACCGATAACAACATGAAATTAGGAGTCTTTCACAACTTCATCACCCCCCTCCCTTTCCAAGTTTTCAACAGAATAGCCCAGGTATCTCATGAAAAATCAAAACAACAAAACCCCCTCCATCCCAAACACATTTCAAACCACACCCCTTCGGTCCGGTTCAGTCATCAAACTCCCCAACCCTAAATCAGAATCAAATCCCCTTCACAGTCTCCCCCCAACCCCACCACCCTTGACCTCCCCCTCCGTCTCCGACAAGGTATTCCTCCCACTCCCCAGCCTCCCCTCCCCCCCAACCCGCCCCTCATGATGATCCATCGTATAAAGCGGCCTCAGCTTCGCCTCCCTCCTCCACAAAACCCACCTCTTGAACCACCAAGGCAGCACATGCCGCACCTGATACCCCGCAAACTCCCTCGTCGGCACCGCAAACACATAATCCAGCTCCTCTAGCGTCTTCTGCTTCGTCTCGGGCACCCAAAAGAAAATCATCACCAGCGCCAGGGCATTAAACCCGGCATACAACCCAAACGCACCCACCGTCCCCAGCGACTCGAGCAAGAACGGGAACGTCATGCCCAGCACCGCCGCCCAAAAGAGACACGTCGCGACCGAGAACCCCATGCCTACTTCTCTGTGCGAGAGGGGGAACACCTCGGCGCTGTAGGTGAACGGCACCGGGCCCTCGCCGGGTGAGTAAAACGCGGCAAAGAGGTAGACAAACAGCGCCACGAGGGCGGTCCGGGCGGTTCCCTGCTCCAGCAGCGTGCAGAGGCCGGCCGCCAGCAGGGTCCACGTCATCTGCGGGAAGGTGAACAGCAGGAGTGATCTCCGGCCAAAGGTGTCAATCGTCCAAAAGGCGGGGAAGGCAAACAGCCAGTTGACCAGCCCGAACCCAAACGACGCGAGCAGAGCCTGGTAGTCGTCCTGCCCGGCGTCCTTGAAGATGGTGGTCGAGTAAAAGGCAATGATGTTGATGCCGCACATTTGCTGGGCGATCATGACGGTGAAGGCGGCCAGGGTGGCCCGGCGCACGCGGGGAATGGTGAAGAGCTCAGCCATGCGCTGAAAGTACCACGAGTTGCGAAGGAGTTGCTCCTCGAGTTCGAGCTGGGAGTGGATGTAGAAGATGTCGCGGGCTACCTGGATCGGGTGGTTTCGCAGTCTGATCATGGCATCCCAGGCTTTGCCGTAGCGGTTCTTCTTCATGTACCAACGAGGTGACTCGGGGCAAAAGTAGATGAGCACGAGGAGAGGGACCGCGGGGATAAAGGGGGCGCCGAGCATCAGACGCCAGTTGATGTCTCCTGCGCTCCACACAGCCAAGTTGAATGCGGTACCCAACATGATGCCGAATGCCGTCCACATTTCTGTCGTCTCGTATTAGTAAAAACTCCGTTCCGTCGCACATCATGTTGATGAGCACTTACGCCAGGACATGACCAGAGCACCACGGATCGAGGCCGGCGAGTTCTCAGCTGCGTAGATAGGCACAGTCGAAGCCTTGACGCCCATACCGACACCCATGAAGAGACGGCAAATCAGCTGCTCCCACCACGTGTGGCAGAAAGCAGAACCGATCACAGGCCAAAGACAGAAATGCGCGCTGAAGAAGATGACACCACGACGGCCCCACAGGTTGCTGGGCAGAAACATGTCAGTTATGCCATTGCTACTCCTGCCATGGAAACTGGGACTTACTTGATCGGATCAGACAACCAGCACCCACACAGTGCACTCCCAAGATACGGACCGGCATTGACCAGCCCGAGAAGAAGCTTGTCCCGGGTTGATGTGCCACCAATTCCGTAGATATCCGGGAAGAAGATGTTCGCTCCATTCGTGCCGGTCTGATCCCACCCCTGAACAGCGGCACCGATCGAGCAAGTCGCAATAGTCAGGAAGAGCTTGGCAGGGAGGCGCCACTTGTGCTCGACCTCGTCCCGCAAGACCTTTTTCTCTGCCTCGTCGAGGGCCTCGGTTCCTTCGATTCTGTCGTAGTCGTCCGGGTTCTGGGCGACGAGAGCACCTTTGCGGAAAAGCTGGACATGTTGAGCCAGTCCTTTTTCTTCGCAAAAGGCCTCTACCCGCCGCATTAGCTGGTCTCGTGGGATGCCCTCAAGGGGGTTTTTGATCCTGCGTTGAAGATATGTGTAAGTGGTTGGGCCATCTATTAGTGCTTCCATCCAATGGTAAGTATCTCACCTAGCTTCCAGGTTGGCATTGAGGTCGACATGGTCGTCTGCGGACCGGCCTTTCTCGAGATGATGTCCGGTGGCACCCTTGGGCTCGCTGCTACTTGCGGGGTGTCAGTTCAAAGTCTACACTGCCATTAACTGGGTGTTTTTTCCCGCACAGTTTCTCATTCCCAGTAGTGCCGGTGTCCGAAATAGTTGGACTGTCCGGCATGGTTGCGGTGGTGGGGGATGGTTGTCAACAGTAGATGGTAGATAGATAGTCTGAGTGCTCTTGAGCTAAATGAGAATGGAAACACAACGGGACAGAGCGCCACCGGACGAGGTAGTCTTAATATTCCCCGGTATCCCACGCACGCAGGTGGCTGACCTGAGTTGCACCGATGTCGTACCCCGTGCTCCCTTCATCCCCCTCACCCATCACCCTTTTTCCCCGCAGAGAGGCAACAGGACATGAAAACTCTGGATAAACCTGGTAGGTGACTGGCCTGGCGGGTGCAACAACAGACTTGCAACTGTGAAGGAAGTGATCGACCCCATGCCAAGGCGGAACTGTTGGTAGGGTCTAACACAAGCTTAACTCGGAACCTTTTGTGTCGACCCTGTCCATCATTCCCTCAGGGTCCCACTCTCTTGCTGCAAGCAGGCTTATACGCAGCAGGACACCGAAAGGATGAATAAATCTCGGTCAGACGTGCAGAAGGAAAGCAGGGTTTGCTGCCTTTGGTCCTCATCACGCAGTGAAGATCCCAGAACGCTACCCTGAATGCGGTTGTACCCTCGCGGATGATGTTGGGAGCTTTTGCATGTGGCATGCCGTGTTTCCGTTGCAAGAGGACATGAATCATGAACATGCCCGTGTTGTGATGCTCTGGCCTACCCGACAGAATGGACAGAGGGTTCCGCTGATCAACATCCCCGGATTTTGCTGTGGATGAAATGCAAAACAATGCCTCCCAAAAAAGACATGTGCCAGGCCATCTCGAGATATGGGCAGTCGGACAAAAGAAAAGCCATCGACGCCATCTGAGATCCCTCCCACGGCACACAACGTGAGACCCTGGTTGAGGCGTCAGGCTTGGCGGTCACTGCCGAGGGGGCCCGCTCTTGGCTGACGCAATTTGTACCGGACACACTCCTCCTTGTCTCCTCCTGTCAAAGCCTTTGGCGTTTCTTGGAATTAGTGTCAAGAAGGGCTATCGGTCCGATGACTTACAGAAGATTTCCTTTTGGAGGCAGGCCAAGAGCGAGAAAAAGAGAAGGTCAAAGGCCAAGTTGGTCAAGAGATGGTGGCGTCTGGGAGTGAAATGCTTGAGACTGACAACATCTCGACTTCATCCGTAGGTAGACATGATAGAGGGGGGAGATACTCGCAGGATGGTGTGTCTCGTATGTCGTATGTATGTCAATCAATTCAATGGGACAGCACACGGCATGCTATCGTGCATACTGTAGGAAGACGACTGCTGGACGGGAAGTGCCCCGGTTGTAACGGCGAGAAGCGAACGAATGGATGGATGGGTCGATGGCTGCCCCGCGGGGATAACGACAGGCGGGGTACCCCATATGGGGGCGGGTAACTTTGGCACTTTTGGATCCGAGTGCCATGCGAAGCTCCTTCTCCATAAATTGTTGATCACAGGGAGCCACTTCACGGTTCGGTGTGATGATTGGGATATGTGTTTATCCTCCTTTCAGAGACCCAATCCACCTTCTCGTTTCGGTCATTTATTGCAGAAGTTGTGTTTCATTGCACCTGCTGTCCCATCCAAAGCTCGAGATTGTTTCTGCGAAGGATCTCACCGCTTGTCGGTTTGGTTATCACATTGTCCAACAACCCTCCGAAGCAAAGCGACCACACTCTGCGACCTGCCGTGACTCCATCTTCGATCGAATAATCCCCCGGGTGTGCTGACGGCCATGACTGGTCAGATATCAGAGACAACCCGACCCCATACGCCCCGCCTCTTTATATACCGAACAATACTGCGATCAACAGCCAAACTCCACCACCGATCGCCACCAATGGTCGGCCATCCGGGGGCAGCTTGCCGATTCCGTGCCCCGGACAGACAGCCCTCTCCGGCAGTGGGCTCGGCTGAGCTCGGCCTGGAGCACTCGTCTCGGACTTTGTCGTATATGCTTGGCATTATACGACATGAAGCCATCACGGCGTCTGCTGACCATTTTCGACTCAAAAGTTCCCCGACTGTGGTTTCATGCCCCTGGACTGAGTGCCTACTCACCCAAGGAAGCCTGTGATATCATTTTGCCGGCCATGACAAGATCCCCCCCTAGTAGCCTCGACTTGCAAAACTTGAAAAAGACCATGCCTGGAATGGTAATCTCAAGATGCTCACCACACTTTATATACGCATAGTATCACCGAACCAATTGACTACCTTTTCTAAACTCGAGATCCCCAAACTAGAAAATCATCCATGGAAAACAGTCCCAATCAATACCTCACCCCCCTAGGCCCCTCCTCCTCCTCAAACCTTCTAAACATCTTGCCCACCATCCACCCCTCCACCCCCTTGATATACCCCTGCCTCGCCAGCACCTCCAAACTCAGCCTCGCGTACTTTTCCGCCTTGTCCATGTCGTTCAACACAAAGTAAATCCTGCTCATATTCTCCAACTGCTCACTCTCAAGCGGGAAGAGCTCCTCCTTTGGCAGAAGAGGCAAGATCTGTCTCGTCAGGCGCAGAGCTTGGTACGGCTTGTTGGCTTGGAAGGCGCGGATGGCGAGGTCTTGGAGCTTTGCGATTTCTTTCCGGCGGGCGTCGGAGGCGACGATGGTGGAGGGGGGGGAGGTGCAGAGGGGGCAGGAGCAGGTGAAGCCCCATTTTTTGAGGAGGTGGGCGCGTTCCAAGGAGGTTTTGCCTAGGGTTAGGTCTAAGGAGGGAAGGGGTTAGTGAATTGGGCTCACGGAAGGGGGAAGGGGGATGAGAAAAGGACGGACAGGAGATGGTGATTTCCTCGCCCGGGGAGATGGGTTTGGAGGCTGCGATGGAGACTTGGAGGGATTCTTGGATGAAGCGGGTGTAGGCGCTGGAGGGATGTGCTGTTAGCATTTTGCTTCTGCAAGGGGGTTGGAAGAGTCTTACTTTGGCATGCAAGCGTGGTTTATTCTCTGGTGTTGGGTCAGCCTTTATCTATCTCACTTCTTTCCGCTATTCAACAGCCCCGTGGGGGAGACAAGACTCACCGAAACAGTAGGATAAACCGCCATGTAATCCCCCTCCCCGACCCTCGTGCTAAACGCATTCGTCCTCAGAACGTTCTCCACCACATCCTGAGCGTGCTCGCTGCTCTTCCCCAGTTCCATCACACCGTTACCCCCATCACCCATCTGTTCGACCGCTTTATGCAGCAGTCTGTACCCCCTCAACGCATTCACCTCCACCGTGAAACCAACATCCACCACGAGCGTGGCATAGTCAAGTAAAATCTCCTCCCATTGCTTGATTTCCTTCGTGGCTATGACGCCCTTGCCTTTTCCGGGGATGGTAACGACTTTGTATTTCTCGCCTTCAGCGCCGTCCGAGGGTTTGGGCAAGGGGAGGTCAAGAAACCAGGAGGCAACGTCTGCGGCGCGGGAGGGCGTGGTGACAAGGGAGAAGCCGCGGTGGCCGTGGTGGGAGTTGGTGTAGGTGCAGTATTGACCGGTCAGGCCATTGGTGAGCTCGCAGACTGGGGCGTGGGTCCAGGGGGTGATGTGGGAGCTGGAGTTGGAAAAGAGGGTTTCTGTCAGTGAACCAGGGATGGGACGGGGGCAGCTGGCAGAGAGGAGTTGGTGTGGCGTGAAAGCTGGGGGTGGGGAGGAGGGACATTGGTATTTGGGGTTGTGGATGGTGGATAACGCCAGTGTTGTTGTTGATGAAGCGAGGAGGGACCATGTGGTGAGAAACCTGAGGGGTAATAAGGGGGCCCCTTTTCTTCGGCTGCGTGTTGGGAACATTATCGCTGTAAAGCTCAAGTACACTGAACAGAAATGGAAAATCAATGGATTCGATTTAGATCTCAGATTCAATCCCCCCTGGATTTCAAAAATCAACAAGAACAATCTGTCCACAGTTCCAGATTCTCGGCTTCAAATGCATGGCGCCCAGCCTCACAAAGTCGAGGATAAATTGCTTCCTGCCCTTCCCCATCCTCACAAAATGCCGATCCTGTTCGTCTTTCTCTTGCCGTGCAGAGCAATGTTTGGTAGCAAGATATGAGGCAAAAGTAAAAGACAGGCAGCCAAGTCCTTGGCCACGTGCTTGGCCGGATCGTACCGGCTGAGCCATGTGCTGTCCCGGCCGTGTTTGTCTCACGGTGGATGATGTGTGGACGGATAAATTCGACATCCCTCGGCACGTACCGAGTTTGGGAATGGCGCATGGGCAAGCTTCATCCCCAACCTCCATGACTTACTCTCTCCAGGGTAGGTAGTTCCTTCTTTGGAATAATGGTCATGATGGGGGGCACCAGAAACTGGTCGTGCTTGCCCATCGCAACAAGCCCGGAAGGAAATGTAGTGTAATCACGTCACTTGCCTCCACAACTGAGGGAGTACTTTAACCCAACATTAGACTGTCTTCCCAGACCAACTCTCATTCTTCATCATCTTTCTTCAAGGTCATTCTTTTCTTCATAGAGCATCAACAAGCATCATGAATCCCCAACCAACGGCGCCTCGGACTCCCAAGTCCGCTGCCATTAACGGCATTATCAAGGAGACGCAGAATCGACCCGACCTCGAAACACTCAAACGTCTCTACGAAAAGCTCCATGCAGACCCCGAGCTCCCCGGTCGCGAAGAGCGTACTGCACATGTCGTAAAAACTCACCTCGAAGCTCTCGGATTCAGAGTTCGTGCTCGCATCGGCGGCCACGGCGTTGTGGGAGTGTTAGACAACCAACGCGGGCCACGCGGCCGTACCGTTCTCCTCAAGGCCGAGCTCGATGCTCTGCCCATACAAGAGAAAACAAACCTATCATACGCAAGCACCAAAAGAATCAAAGACCCCGTCGACAAAAAAAAGAAGCCCGTCATGCACGCCTCCGGCCATGACATGCACATCACCATGGTCCTAGCTGCAGCAGCACTCCTCCAAAAGGCCAAAAAGAAGTGGCGTGGCTGCCTCATAGTTCTCTTCCAACCAGACTCACAAGGACGCGGTGCTAAGTCCATGATGGAATCCGGACTATACGACAAGTTCCAATTTCCCAACCCAAACATCGTATTATGTCAACACATCAACAACAAAAGCGCAGGCAAGCTTCAGCTTCTAAGGGGCAACGACCTAGGAGAAAGGTTATCATTTCTCATCACGATCCCCGGAAAGGGAGGGCACTCGACCACCCCGGAAGGCTGTATTAACCCCATTCTCATCGCCTCGTCGCTGGTGCCGGAACTCCAAACAATGATTCAAACGCTCTACAACCCCAACAGCCCCGCGCTTGTTACCTGCGTGAGAATTAACGCCGGCCACGCTACCAACGAAATCCCCGACAAGGCCGAGCTGACGGTCGAAGTCAGAGCCTTCTCTGGCGATATGATGAAGCTGCTCGTTGAGGCGATCGACCTCGTGGTGGGGAAGGAATTCGAGAACGCGGGAGTATTGAAGAAGAAGAAGACAATCCAGAGGCTTGACCAGTTTGTTTCACCGCTTATCAACGACCCAGATGCGCTACACAAAATTGGGGTGCAGTTTGAAGATTATTTTGGGCGGGAGCAGATTCAACCCATGAACCTGGAGATGGCCATGGGCAAGCTGGGTGATGATTTGGCTGTTCTTGCTCGAGAGGGCATTCCCCATGCGTATTGGACGCTTAGGAGCACGAGTCCGGGTATTTGGGACACGTATGAGAGGGACGGGCGTTTGCATGAGTTGCCGGATACCCACACGGCCGAGTTTGCACCGGCCGAGGAGCCCACGTTGAGCGTGGGGATGGAGGCGTTGGCGGTAGCGGCGTTGACGTATCTGAAGACGGAGGGTGAGTTTTGAGCAAGGAGCGAGTTGATCAGGTCAGTCTGACGCAGCGTAAATATTAACATGCATTGTACTTTTGTTTGAACCATGGCTGTTAAGAGATTGAATAGGCGTCGAATGCATAATTAAACAGGCCTCGAGGCATAAACAATAAGATGATCAAGGATTTGTCCCATCCATGCCTCGTAAACTTTTATTCTTTTCTCAGAGAGCTCTACTTCTGACTCTCTGAAGTGTTTGCTTGGGTCAAGCATAGTGGAGATGGAAATCCTCTTGTGTAAGAAATTCTAACAGGTGGGTAGCTAGTACATTTCACCGTTACCGAAAACATGATTTTAAGCTCTCATTTTTGTGGTGTGTGTGTGTGTGTGTCTATCGTGCCTTAATTCATCATCAACTGCATCTGCGTCCGTGTGTGAGCCCGATATCTTCTATTCGGGTATCAAGAGCCTTTGAAAAAAAAACAAAAAAAACAAAAAACAAAAAGTGTAGTAGCAGCAGCAGCAGCAGCAGCAGCAGCAGCAGTAGTAGTAGTAGTAGTAGTAGTCGTAGTAGTTGTTGTTGTTGGGTTTCTTTGCCCCCCCCCTAACCCCACCCCAAACCCACCAAGTTCCATCTAAGATTTGATTCCCAATGTTTAAGAAAATGTAAAGAAAAGAAAAAAAGGGTCCGTCATGAAACCCCCTTTCTAGCTCAATCCCACGAGCAAGGAAACGTTGGCCATCTTTCAGCTTGGTTTTTCTCTCTCACCCACGTCGACTCCGCCCTATTCGACAAGTTGCAAATATTCTGACAAGTACATAGCCAAATGCACTATCGACACCCACGCCATTACCCCCCTCGAAAGCCAAGGTCAAAGTAGCCATATCGTTCCCATGGGGCCAAAATCAAGCGCATCACTCCGCGTCTGGCTTCTGCGAGACAACTTCCCTCGCATAAAACTCAACCAGCATGGTGGCATAGGCCTCCAAGTCTTCCACAGGAACAGCCAGGCGAAAGTCGTTGAGCAGCAAGAACTGAAGTTCGAGGTGGTTCAGTTCAGCCAGAGGGAGACCACCAACCTAAAAACAACGTTAGCTCTGGTTCTGATGATGATGATCATAGATCAAAAGCAAAAACATACCTTGGCATATCGCGAGTTGGTGTAAAACACATCAGAAAAAAACTTGCTGGCGCAAGTCACCCCCGCAATAATAAGCCGATGGATGTTGTAACTGTCCACTACAAAATATGTCGCCTGTCCAGCTGCTGAATGCGTGTTAAAACTGTTGCTTTCGATCGTGATCCCCTTCCCAGCCTCCTCATCGGTGTCTGCAAGATCAGAGTCCGTCTCGTCGCTATCCTCTTCCGCCTCGTTACTGTCCCGCATGACAGTGTCTGGATCTGCCGCCGGTTTCATAGCTTGCGCATGCACGTATTGCATCCGTCGTGCCTCCTCGCTCTTGACCACCATATCGTTGACCCGCTCCGTCATCCTGTCAAAATAGACCAGCAGACTCAAAAAGACTTCGTACGTGGTGGGACAGTACTTGTGTATCCGACCAAGATAGCTCAGTATGCTAATCGAGGGAACGTTTTTACCGTGAAACGCCAAAACACTGCTGCTTAGAGGGCTTCCGTTGGCGTCCCCACCAGCTTCCTCACCCCTCGCTTGCGCCTGGGCTTGTCGGAGGTGGTGCGCGTTTCGGTTCAGAGCATCGTGTTGGAGGTCGTTGGTGGTGGTAATCTTGGTAAGGAGGGCGGCTACCATTTCGATAATATCTCCTATAGGCATCGCGCTAATCTCGTACTTCATCTGTTGTAGTGGGGGATCATTAAGGTTCCCTGAGCCGGTGGCATTAAGATTTTCGACCTTGGCCAGGGTCTGGATATGTGCGAGGTCTTGGACATAGATTGTCTTTTGGGTTTCTATCGGCGGACTTGGGGCATTGTTGCTGAGGGGTATCGAAACGGGGGGCGCATCGACGATGTCGACATCCGCGGATGGATTCCGGCGCCGACCGTGATCCGATGCAGGAGAAGGCATCGCCTTGGATCCTGGCACTACGGTTGCGGCGGTACTGAGGGACGAGGTGGTCGAGCCCGCGACAGAAGGCGGACCGCTGGCGGCATCGTGAACTCTTTCGGTCGAGACGTCATACTGCGGCCCAGCGCCACCGGAGGAGGGATCGGACGACGAAGAAGACGAAGAAGGCGGGGACGGGAGGCGGCGGCTGGCCCCACCACTCGACATCGGGGGTCGGCTCGACGGTGTTTGTCGTTGTTGCTTTGCTGGCTTGTCTGCGACCACTGGCGTCGGCACTGGTGAATCCTGCCAGTCTCTGCGCGGTGTTGACGAAGAGGCTTGCCGTCTGGGGCTCGCCGTCGGGCGCGAGTGGTGGGACTGCTGGGCATCCCGGTCGCAACCTGTTGTTGTTCGGCTGACTGGAACTGGACGGGCCTGGAAGTGAATGTCGTGCGGGTGCTGGTGCTGAATGGCCGGCCCTGCAATCATGCTATGAAATCGAGATGGCGATTCTCCCAATACGTCGCCCATCACTGTAGCCATGCTGGCATGGTTGTCTTGATTACGGTGGACGTCTGGCAGTGGTGGGAGGTGGTGGTGGTGGCTGCCAAGAGTTCAGCCAGTGGTTATCGCGTGGTGGAGGGTCCTGCAGCGAGTGCTATCGGATCGAAAGTGGCTGTGCCGCGATAGCGGAGAATTAGCTAGGCTTTTCTCTGGTTGGCGAGTTTCTGGACCAGGCGATAAAGACCCGGGTCAGCGCCGGCGCCCAAGCAAAAGGTGGGGGAGGTGCAAGAGCAAGAGCAACAACAAAAACAACAAGCAAGAACGAGAAGAGGGGAAGAAAAAAAAGATGAGACGAAAGGATATGGTGTCTGGGGGAAGGGGGACTAGGTGCCAGGCTGGCGGGAGGTAACACAGTGTTGGCACCGCGTGCGTGCTGCACGACAAGGGCGCAATCAACACGGGATGGCCTTTTCTTTCTTGTTTCCTGTTGACGTGATGCTGCTGCTGGTGGTGGACGGTGGCTGCGCTGCGCTGCAGGCAAGAAAGACACCGCAGACAGACACCGACACAACAGACGGCAGCCTTGCTGCGGATACCTAGGCGGTTCTTCCTCCAGCCTGATGGCGAATGGCGAGTCTCAGCATATCGAAGCAGCCGGTGTTTCTGTTTCGAACAGCCAAGGACGACCAACGACGGGTCAAACTCAACGTTTGAAGCTGTGGCCTGACTCGCGAGCTAACGCCATGAAAACAACTGAAATGATGGGCAAACACACAACGAGAGGGTATCAAACAGCCACCGGCCAACTCGCGCCCGGATCACGAATCCGCTTTGAGCTAGCCGGCGGGATGGCTGTTGGGGCGTTCCAGGCGATTGGGAGTATCGACAGGCACAACGACGTCACTTGGCGATGATGAAAGAAGAGAACGGCAAACCTCCCGAGCGGCTGAGGGAAGCACCAGCGCGTGGCAAAGCAAGACAACACAGAGACGTGGAATATCGAGGTGCTTACCTGTGTGCAGCTTGCATATACCTTCAGCCCCAAACGCCAAAAGGGTCTTCTGTGGGCTGTCTGTCAGGAGAGGTTCGGGATGTTGATGATAAGGTTGGCTTTGGCGTTCTCGCAAGGACGAACCGGATGGCAGAGATGGCTTATGCAGGTGACTGCCGGGTTGGTTACAGAAAAGATTGTGAAGGGATAAAGATAAAAAAAGAATAGACGAGGTTCAAATGTCGAGTGGCAAAGTCATTCGTAGGCATAAGGCGATAAGGGGAAAGAGGTGATGGGCAACCAAGAGATGCGACCCAAGATTATCGCATAACAGAGGCCGATGAAGCAATGCCAAGAAGCGGCCGGAGGGTTGGAGTGCAGTTAACAGGCCGGACGTAAAAGCCTAATGGTTTCTTGATAAGAGAAATCTTTTGCCCGGTAGGTTATTATCGTTTCTCTCTCCAAGGGGACTCCAATCCCAAGGCCGCTTCCCAGTGAGTTAGGTAAAGGGGGAAGAAACGGTTTCAAGACTCCGGTCGCGCAGAACACCACCGGCTGGGGGGAAAACAAGGAGATATATCTTGCGGCGTGCAGATAACGCCGGGTGCGGGCAATCGGACGATCAAGATGACGATGAACCGGGACCTTCTTCCGCCACGTGTGTGGATGAAAGAATGCTAGCGGACGGGAAACCCTGCGCCCGCACAACCACACACACCGCAGCACTCCCAACCGATTCCCTGAGAAGATGGCGCCAGATGAGGCAACGGTACATCCACGCCGTTGACTGTAATAATTATATTATCCTGCCATCCCTGCTGAGGTGAGTACCCTTTCTGCATTGCCTTTCTATCTTGTGATTCTCCTCATATGTATATCCTTCCCGTCAGATCATCTCTTCCCCTCCTCCATCATCAACCGAGGATGGTGTTTGTGGGTGTGTGTGAGTGTGTGGTGTGAGGGAACAATCACTGATAAGAAGAGTTGTGGAGAGCGGTGATCCGATACGGTAGAGATGGACCCACATCTTTACCAGCGACAGGCCAACCGTGGTGGGGTGGGGGAGGATGACGCAGGGGTTATCCAGACTTCACATTTGACCTAATGGACTCTGCGCGTTTGCGCTTCTCGCATTCTACAGGCGCCACGAGCGAAGGAAAACGCGGGGGGCGCTTGTTATTCTTAAGAGGACGGTGAGGACCAACTTTGTCCAGTTTGAAGCCCACATTGTACCATTGTAGAACGCCTGTGGCTTCCAGGTCCCTGAGTTTGAGGGCTGGATATCAGATTCAACGGTAGGACCCCCAGCATCTAACCACTTGACAAACATTTTCTACAAAACCTTTTTACCAACCAGCCAACCAACCCTCCTCAGCAGCTTCAAAAAGAACCCCCTGCAATATTTCCATCGTGTACACCTCCCATTCGAAGCACCGTCGTCGGCCTCTATTTGCTCCTGTCATCAAGCCCCTCCTGTCTTCTATCCCTCTTGTGCCCCTCACCTCGCAAGCGACCCCGTGGCGTCACTCTGGACAGAGATTGGCTACTTCAATTGTTTACATCCCAACCCAAGGCACGAGTGCGCGCCTCTTTTTCACGGCAATGTCAACTCGAAATGCACTCACTCAACTAGGCGGTGGAGGTAGCAACGTGAGGGGATTAAGAAGCGCAAACCCAAAAAAAGGGTCCTCGGTCCTAGGTCGGTAGTGAGCAACGCGTTGGTGGGGGGGGGGGGGGATAAAACTGTCATTATATGTTCCCTTTCAAACCCCCTCGCCTCGGCTATAATACTCAAAGTACATGGTCTCGAGTAGGTATCGCAAGCTCTACCAGATGTGATTCCTAACAATCTACATCCACAAGCCTCGGCCCTGTGGAGTCATCCCGAGATCCAAGAATTGTGTTGAAGGGGTACCCCTTGAACACTTCTCACCTCGGGACTTCCCGCCATCTCATACCTATTTCCCTACATACGGTTCTGAGAACTCATATCTTCCCTAGAACACCACATCCCGAAAACGTTACACAACCCCCTTCGCATACCTACCTGGCTCGCCTAAAATCAAAAATCATATTTTCCACCTACCCCACAACCAGAACCTTTCACTCCTCGGTCGTGGTAATCAGCCATGCAAGCCACAGAGCACAAGCAAGCAAGGAACGCCATCTGCCCTCCTAACTCGGAGCGGGCGAAACTCCGGGCCACCCGCCTTCCCTTAACCAACTTGCGTGCCGGCCACGTTGTATCCTCATCACCCTCCAACTCGGCCACGCCGGTTCGTAGTTCCCACGCACCGCAGATGCATAAGCCACAGGTAAAACAAGACCAAAAGTGCAGCCCATACTCTTTTCAGAGGCTTTCTTGAGAACGCCATACACACACAGACAAAAACACCCGTCTCCCTATGATGCCTTTCTCGAATCCGAAATGGAATGGCATTACTATACATATCCATCATCCAGCCCGGTCATGTCGTCACCTCGCAAGCACTGAACAATGCATCCCGTTCTGATTGGCTGTCTTCTGCCCCCATCCTTACCCCTAGTCACACGCACTCAGTTCTCATGTCTGACCTTGTAATCCGTATCTGGTAGGTACAGATGTCTGTCCGCGCCCTTGGCCGTTAACACCACCATACGAATCACACCACCCGAGCTACCATCCCACTTGATGGCCTCCTTCAACGACTCCTTGACAAAGTTGACCGCATCCGCCTCCTCCATGCCCTCTTTCCAGTTGGCGTCGCAGTAACCGTAAATGTACGTCGAGCCAGAACCACCAATGGCATATGGTTGCTTGTGGAGGGACCCGCCGAGGGGGATGCTGTAGACCTGACCGCCGTGACGCTCGTCCCAACCCGCAATAATGAGACCGGCCCTAGCAAAGAAAATATCAGTACCTGACCTCCGCAGCCTACCCAACTTCAACTTCGCCGGGGGTTACTAACGAGAGCCTATCCTTGTTCGCATAGCACATCTCCTGGAAGATGGCCGCCGCCGTCTGTGTCGTGGGGGGCTTGCCGTTCATCATGTGGAAGAGCCCAAGCTGGTATTGCACAATGTCGGCGACGGCTTGGGTGTCGGCGGCGGACCCGGATCGGCAGCACCAGATTGTGTCGTGTACTCTGGTGAGCTTGTCGGTTACACGGTTGGCAATGTATGCGCCAGTCGTTGTGCGGGAATCGGCTCCGAGGATAACGCCGTCTTTGAATGTGATCGCCATACTGTCATCGTTCGAATGTTAGGAGGGGTGCTCGCCCGGGAGTGGTCGTTTGGCCAGTTTAAGACCGGGGGGTTGGCTTACATCGAGGTACCCAAGCTAAGGGATGGAATTGTCAGAATGACTCCCATTGTAAAAGCAGGGGCACTTTGGAAGTATCACTTACTTGACCTCACCCTTCTTCAACCGGTCCATATCAACATGGATGCCATCTGCAAGGTACCATGGTTAGCAACAGGGACGAGACGATGTGGAGACGGTAACCGGGAGTTGCGATGTCACTGACCTTCGCTCAGGCAACCCGATGTACCGAATTCCATTTTTGAAGTGTGGGTTTGTAATTATCGATCTGAAGTCGTCGATGGAAAGAGGGGGGCAATCGGAGCGAGTCGTCAGTCGTAGAGAATGGAGGTGTTCGTGGGGTGTGTGGCATTCGTCGAGTGAATGTTCGAAGTTGGCAACTGGAGCTTGGAGCTCCTCCCAAGCTCAAGGCAGCTCAGACACGCACGCGCGCCTTGCCTGGCGGGCGGGTTGATGCGCATCACGTGGGGAGCTGATAAGAAGGCTTATCGGATCTTATCGCTCCTATGTCTTACAGCCAGCCCCTTGGCAGACCGCACGATGGATAAATGAATGCATGTAACAATAGGGGTATCCTCTACTATGTACACGATAACCTGACGATGAGTGATCTCATCTTTGAGTCCAGAGTGTTGACCAAAGCCTTCCCAATGCGAGGTCCTGTTCGATCTCTCCGGATCACTCAGATCCTGTCGAAGCCCTCGTCAAAATCCCAGCACCCTCATCAGAGTCCAACCCTATCAACACCTCCCCGTCCCCGACTTCCAAAACCACCTCACAAAAAAATCCGAAAAAAAAACTAAAACTCCCCAACTCCAACCCAAGTATTCCGACCACAGTCTACTCAACCCCCCCTAACCAACCCCTCCTCCCTCTCCAAACTAACCCCCTCCCCAACCTCAATCTCATACCCCCTCCTCCTTTCCTTGCCACCATCCCCCTCCTTCTTCTTCCCCTTCCCATCATCCCCACACCCGCAATCATAAAAATCCCCAATATTATTACAATCAAACAACTCCTTCCTCAACCTCCTATTAACCTCATTATGCACAAAACAAGCCCACCCCGCCGCATTATTCCGACTGCTCACCTGAGGCGGGTATTTCTCCAGCAGCTTCTGAAAGTGCGAAGCACAGTCCCCACAGGGGTACAACCTCGCAAACAACTGTATATACGTCCTCAGCGCAAGACTATCATCCGCCGTCGGCTCCTCCGGAAACCGCGCCATCATCGTGTGGAACAACTTCCACGACGCGCGGCCGAGTTCCGCTCTGTAAATCTCCCCAATCAGCAATTGCTCTTCCCCAGCATGCAAAAAGCGGAGGACTCACTTCGCAGTCGCATTCTCCAACTTGGGCGCAATAGATCCACCCTTTAGAATGCTCTCCGAAAGGGCACCACCAGCACCGTTGCTGTTGTGGCTGCTGCTGCTCCTCCATGTCTCGTCGGATAATATCCTCGTGGGGTCCCGTCCGCCGCCGCCGCTGCTCGAAACAAAGTACGTCATGGTCAAAAAGAACATGACGCCCACCAGCAGGAGCGTTATGTGTTGTCGTCGCGCCATGGTTTTTCCGCAACCGTCTCGTCGCGCCCGCAGGGTGGCTTGGCCCAATAAATAAAAGGGGTTCACAGTGGATTCGGTGATGTCGAGAAATGGAGTTTTGGGCGCAACGTGGAGGGCCGAAAGAGGCGGCAATGAACCGTGGTCGATCTAGCTCTGCAAAAAAATGGGTTTTAATGAATGACGGGAAAATAATGCACGACAAGAAAATGGCTGAAGCTTATTGAAGGATGGGAAAAAGACCCGATCAGATGGTTCAAAGGAATTGGAGTGTCTGTCAGATGTTCGGCGCTGGTGGCCAATGCACCAGTGGCTGATCCCCTAGCCAGGGGTCTGCAGCCGGATCACCCCACCCTTCCCGCGGCAGGCATTTGCTTGAAACAGGGGTTCAGTCGAGCCCAGAGGAGTCAAGCTTTCTCGAAGCCCACTTGCAACATCATGTAACCAAAATCATCATCTCTATCCAAACAACCTCTTACATTTCATGTAGATTTCAACCTGAAACAAGTTCGAATAAAAAACCCAAAAACCTCTCTAACCAAAACCCCGTCTCTTTATACATCATCCAACCTCCCGCCCCCGTTCAAGATCATGAACCCCTAAGCAAAACCTGGTAAGCCCCCGTCATCAATAAATCCCAGCGTAAAATGTCAAATCCCACCTCCCATTCTCCGTCACAATCACCGGCTTAACATCTTCAACAATAAAAGCCTCCCTCAACGGGTCCAACACCTTGAGCTCCCACCTCATCGCCTCTTCATTAGCCTCAGACCCAACAGTCTTGCCCAGCACAAGACTCCCATTCGCCTTTCTCGCCAGCGCACCCTCTGGCGCTTCCCTGAGAATGTTTCGACTGAACCCAGTCACCACCCCACTCCCATCCGTAGCAAGCATCACCGCTCCCCCATCACACCCCTCAAGCAGCGAGACGTCTCCCCAAGACCGCGTTGACGAGTTTGACGCCGTGGTATTGTCTTGCGCTTCCCAAGCCACCTCGATCCAAGTTCCCAGATTGTGCTTGGCCGTCCCGTCAAGGTTCTCGTCCAGCCTGCCGCGAACGATGCGACCTGAAAAGGTAGGGCAGACCGAAATGAAGACTGTCTCGCCAGGATGGAGCTTGCGGGTACAAATACTATTGTCAATGACAAGTCCAATCAAAGCTGTGTCGGTGCGGGCTTACCAATGTATACTTCCACGGAGTCTCATCACGCGCATTTTCGTACAAAAAGTAGTAGTGATTTTGGTGCGTGTTGCTGTAGTCGGCGTCGCGCATTGTCACGCCGGGGCCGCCGTCATCCACATCTCCCACTGCCACCAAAAAAAATTCAGTCATTCGCCTAGAAGATGGGTTGTCTAGGACGCACAAGTGTAGATGGGTGTATCTGAGCGAGATCCACACGTGAAGGTGGCATTGGCGTGGCTAGAGGGTAGCAGAAGGCTAGAGTTTTGGAATGTGGTGTTCCAGTTGAGGACGCTGTGCAGGTAGGGCCGTGGAGGGATGAGGACAGGGCTTGCCGAAGTAGCTGGAAGTACGGCTAGGAGAATGGGGAGAGTACCCAAAAAACGTGGGAAGGTCATGATGTGTAGATGGATAATAAAAGACGGAACCAATGTGAGAGACGTCGAGGGTTATATGGTGTGAGATGATTGGATTTGGCGTGGAAGATGTAGGGGATAGGTAGGTATGTTGGGAAGAATGTTGTCGAGGAGAGATTCAATGACTGGCCCTGTCGACTTTTGGGAGATCTTGTGGCGGTGGGCATTGGATTGTGCGTCCGTCCTTTCCCTGGATATCATGGGAGAAGGAACTCGGTCTGGCAAAGTAACGTCGCAAAGCTCCTTCTTGCCAATGCAAGAGTTCAAGGGATGAACAGGGACCTGCAAGAGCGTCCAGGTAAGGCTCTGAATGGGAAGAGCTCACTGAATTCAAGCGACAGTGAATAGTGACTGCCAATTTACATTCGAGCTGTTATCAGCTGCCGCGTTACGCATGAGCAAAGTTTCATAATGTCTCAGGAGATATGCTATACATTTCCAAGGACCTTCTGCCCAGATACATGAGAGGGCAACAAACATCAGGCCCAACCCATAGCACCAACTTGAAAGTCTATCCAGATCCCACAGCAGATACATGAATCAAGAACCTCCTAACCATATTCCGCCAACTCACATGGCATTCTTCCCCTCGAAAACCGTCCTCATCGCCTCCGGTGCATCCTTCGGGTCCATAATCATGTCCACACACTGCGGCACCACCGAGTCACAAAATTCCCCATCACTGAGTAGCTCATCTAATTCCTCCGCCGTTGTGACTTTGTAACCCTTGACCCGCGGCTCAACATCAGGCGCAAAAGCCTTGAACAGAGCGGCATAGTCCCACATGGGGATGTCGTTATACTTTGCGTCCCACCCGCGAAAGTAGCGCTCAATGGTGTACCTGTGTCTCGTGTCAGCAAAAGGTCACTCAAGCTTATGCATCGTGGAAAAGGATTTACCCGTAGTTATTCAGCGCAAACACCACCGGGACAATCCCATATCTTGTGAGCATAGAGAAAGCCTGCACCGTAAGTTGCAGGCTCCCCTCCCCTGTCACCAGCACCAGTCGCTTGTATTTGCCTGTCTCCTTGGCAGCAATGGCGGCACCGGCCGCAGCCCCAGCTGCGTAGCCTATGCTGCCGTAGACGGATTGTGTCCAGCCGTGACACCCAGAAGGGAAACGGGTGGCGGTGATGCCGACCTGAGCGGTGCCGGTTTCGGTGATGACGAGATCACCTGGCCGGAGGTAGGAGGTGAGGCGGGACCAGAGCCAGTCTTGCTCTATCTTGTTACTTGCTGGGAGAGATAGTTGCTGATCGACCTGGGTATTTTGTTTCGTGCGCTGGGCCAACGGGTAGTGCGAAGATAGGGCTGGAATGAGCTTGGGCAGAACATGATTGATTCTAGCGTCGTATTTGGTCGCCCCAATATTGACAAAGAATCGTTGAAGATCGATGATGGTGCAGTGGTCGAGCTTTTCGGTGAAGATACCCCTGTAGTTGATAATATGTCAGTTGTTCTCCTCGCTTGAAAGAATCGAGGCGGGAGTATGACCTACGTGTTGAAATCAGAAGGGTAGTTCCCCAGCCACAAGATGCAGTCTGCCTCTTGCACAAGTCCAATGGCACTCCTCGGCCACGACCCTTCACCAGCATAACAGCCCTGGTAGTAAGGGCTCATCTCATCAGCAATACCCTTGCCCAACCCAGTCACAAGAAATGGTATTTTGAGGGCTTGGATTAGAGGATCGACATGTTCAGCCCAGCTCGCCCTTGCAGCTCCGCCATCCACAATCAAGATTGGGGATTTTGCCAACTCTAGCTGGCTGACTATCTCGGTGGTGACAGCAGCCTCAGACTCTGGAGCACTTGGTGGCAAGCATCGAGCGAGTTTTGTACCAAGATACTCATTGGATACCTTTGCATAGGCAATATCTTCAGAGATGCCAATGTATCCAGGTTTAGAATGGAAAATCATTGCGTTCACAACACTGTCGATCTCAGCCGCAGCAGTAGTCGGGTCGTCAAGGACGGTAGTTGCGCAACACAACTCGGAGGAGATCCTTTGGTAATGGCTAAAAGCCACATGTCAACTCATCATGTCTCGACAAGGTAAGACCAGGTGCTAAGGGCATACTCAAACTTTCCATCCCCCAAGGTATGATGAAGGATCTTTCCGCTCTTCTGTGCTGGAGTGGTGGGATATCCAACAATGTGAAGGACAGGAACAGACTCGCAGTATGATCCTCCGATACCACACAGAGCACTCAGTTCTCCAGGACCAAATGTGGTCACCAGAGCGCCAAGTCCATTGAGGCGCGCATAACCATCGGCAGCGTAGGCTCCGATCAGTTCGTTCGGTGCGCCGACCCAGGAGAGGCCGAGAGGTTCGACGAGATCGAGAAGGGCTAGTTCAAAATCTGCCAGGCAACTCAGCATGGCTATAAGACCTGGTGGTGGTTCAGAACCGGACACATACCACCGGGAACGCCAAAGACAGTCTCGATGCCGAGCTGTTTGAGCCGGAGGAAGAGGTACTCTCCAATGAGGATTTCTGGCATTGTGGTTGAACCGTGAGGTGTGATTGTAGACGGAGTCTGGAAATCGCAGGCGTGTATGTACGATTGTCAAATGTTTGAGTGATTAAGTAGAAACTTTGCATGAGTTGTAATGTTTGATGCCATATACTACCATTGGATGGCTTCCCAACGATCTTAAGTAGTCCATCATAGCCTCTCTTGGGACTGCATCGTCGCAAAAAGACGTCATTGTCGCAATCAGGGAAATGGTGATCAATGTCAGACGACGTCGAGGTGGAGGTTGGCGGAGCCGGCATTGACGATGTCGGTGTAGAAGTTTCCTCGGTTGGATATGTCGGCGTGCCCGTCGAGCATCGGGGTAGTAAACTGGCCGTGTCGGTTGCCGGCTACCTACACGAGAGTTGCATGATCGGTGCAAAGTCGGGATTTCTGCCGATGTATGCGGGTTGCTGACTGAAGTGGTGATTTGGGAAGGAACCAATCACAGACAAAGTCTCAACCACACGCGTTAAAAAAGACCTAGATCATAGTAGAGAAAGGCTTGGTGATTGGTTGGATGATGTCTCTTTGTATTAGATATTGCTACAGTTATTATTCAAGCCCCTTGGCTGAGCATCTCCCACTGATCCGACACACTCTCCGATGTTGGTGTGAGGAGGGCATAGCTGTCACTGTCGCTGTTCCTGTTCCCGCTCCCGGTCTCGACTGCCACTCTCACCAGAGCCCAGCTGTTTCCGAGATCCTCACCCTCAACCCACTCTTCACTTGTTGTAGGGGAAGTGTCTCTCGTCCCACCCTGGCTGCTCCTCCCTTTTCCACGACCTCGCTTCGGTGGCTTGACCTTGATCTGATATTCCCACTGCCCTTCCCCCCTCACAACATCCTCAAACCCAAACCCAACCCTCTGCACCGCTTCACAATCCCCAACAGACCCTTCAACAGCCAGACTCTGCCCAGCTTCCACCTCCTCCACCAGTTGCCTCCACAGCTTCCCAAAAACCAACCTCCCATCCCTCTCATCCTCAAACGGCAACCTCCAGCTTTTGTCCGCGGCAATTTCCCGCCCCTCAATCAAATTATCCCTCGTCCATGCCTTCTTTCCCTCCTCAAAGAAGTCCCTCTTCATTTTCTCGCAGTAATCACAGCAATACAGCGAGCTACACCTCGTCTTGAACATTTTCTCCAAAACAGGAATGTAGTGCGGCCTGATCAGCAACCCACTTCTCATGCTCGAGGCTTTTCTGTAAGCGTAAGGTTGATTTGCCTTTTTGAGTCGCTGCGCATCGGTCTTGAGTTTGGGGAAGTTCCAGGAGCGGTCGAAGAAGACGTCTTCGTAGTCGGAGATGTGGCTTTGGATGCGGTAGAGATCCTGGCTGTTGCGGCCCGGGAGGCCTACGCGGATGGGGTTTTTACCGTGAATCTTTTTGGGGTTGGGTTGGACGAGTTTGGTTTGGTCGAAGGGGATGTTGGAGGGTTCTTCTGGGTGGGGGATCTGGGAGGAGAGACGGGGGAGGTAGCGGGTTAGGGTGAGGGAGGTGAGGTGGTTGTGGTTTTCCATTTTGGCTGTCAGGATTGGGTTTTGGGACTGACTAAGGAGTGTGGGTTTGGATGGACGATGATGAGAATGGAGACACTGAGGTGGCAACACGATGTTGATTTATACAATGTATTCATGGCACTAGCGATTGAGGACATCACGACGCCAGGGGTTGCTGGCGCCCTCTTCTCGCACAGCGAGCTCAGAGTGGCATGGTGCGGTCTTGGTATAACACGCCATTGGCTGGATTCGTCTTCGTGGCTGTGGCAGTGGTCTTAATCGCCAAAACAACCCTCAATTTCCAGCAACAAGAAGATAGAGCTAACCCTGTCATGCCGTTCCGTAAGTACAATTACCCTTGACGTCGTCAACTTTGATGCGGAGCAGTTTCTCTGCGTTTTTGTAGGCAATGGCCTCCAGCTGCTCCTGGTCGACCAGCCCGCTTGCCTCCAGCTCCTTGAACCATGCCAACCCAACCTCATTGCTTGTAAAAGGATAGTCAATACTGTACAGGATGTGGTCAATGGGAGTGTTGGCCAAAATGCACCTCATGGGATCCAAGCTCCAAACACCGCTCGTCGTGACATAGATGTTCTCCCGATATACCGTTGCGAACTTTCTCTGAGCCGTGCTCCATCTTCCACTAAGCCTGTCAATACGCTGCAGCATAAACGGTATCATTTCACCCATATGTCCAGCGATGATCTTCAGCTTGGGTCTGCGATCAAACAGTCCAGAGGCAAACAGTCTCAAGACATGAAGCCCAGTGTCCTGGTGCCACCCCCAGCCAGAACTTCCCAGCGAGTTTGCAGCGATAGGGTCGAAGTTGCCTCGATATCGTGGAGCCATGTCTTCACTCGGCCAAGTGGGATGAAGGTAGACTGGAACATCGAATTCCTCTGCAACAGCCCAAAAAGCATCGTATTCCTCCCCATCAAAATAGCCCCCTTTGCCGTCGTGATTGTCGACCAAAGCACCCACAAAGCCGAGCTCCGTGACCGCCCTCCGGAACTCTGCTGCCGCTTCCGCCGGCTGAGACATGGGAGCAGTCGCAAAACCTGCCAATCTTCCTTTTGCATTCTTGACAGCCTCATAGACCTGATCGTTGGCTGACCTGCTGTAGTTGACGGGGTACGACCCTAACCCTGCGGCATGGCTAACAACTTGGATTGTGACATCTCCCTTGTCCATGTCGGAAAGTCGGAGAGAGGAGAGGTTGGTCAACTTTTCCATGACATTGGGGACAAACTGTGTCTGCTCCTTGAACAGAGCCTTCATAGCATCCGGGGTGGTGGCAGAAGCGTAGTGCTCCTCGAGGGTTATGAGTGGAGTCATCTTGGCCAAGGCGGGAAGGATGAGGAGTGGAATAAATCGTAGGAACTCCATGATTGCAGACATTGTATCTACTTCTAAAGAAGAGAGACCGTTGTACAACTAACCCCTAGCTTCGAAGTTTCTTCTCCCCGTTTTATCTTCCGATATTCATGTCGTCACGACATCAGCCATCGCATCGCAACTTCGCCATGCTTTCATCCGGTCTCACTCAAACAAACCCTGAGGTGAATGGTTTGTCTCGGATCAAAATCAAGGGTTAGGGTCACACATGTTCCACCTCTGAACCCGAAGGTGCACCCACGTGATCCACTCCCACCCAATCCCTGTCTCCGCCCCACCCACCTCCCAAACGCCCGGACCACATCCAAACCTGTCGGACCTTCAACTTTACGATATTCATCGACGATTCGGAACGAGACACCCGAGCGTCGGTGACGAACCCACGCAACACAAACAACCCCTCCCCCCGATCGATCCAAGCCATGGCGAGCCTCTCCCTCCTCACGCGCTCCATGCGCACCCTCTCCCTCTCCTCAACGACCGCCCTCCGAACCGTTGCCCGTCCCAAGACCTCCACAGTCGCCACCAGATTCCAGACGACCCGGTCGCTCTCCTCCAAGTCGCACGGCCTGTTTTGCTCGTGCTGCCGGCCGACCCTCTCCAAGATCGTTTCCCAGACTACACAGACGGCTCCAACATCGAATGGGGCTGCTGCCAGCAAGGCGGTGGGGGTGGCGGTTCAGCAGACGAGGGGGATGAAGGTTCACAGTTCCGTCAAGAAGAGGTGTGAGCACTGCAAGGTTTGTTTTACTACTACTACTACTACTACTACTAATGGTCGGACGTGAGGGGAAAGGAGGAAACTTTGGCTGACAAGAGTGTGAAAAAAAGGTTGTGAGGCGAAAGGCGGGGAAGAGACATCGGGGGTACATTTACATCATTTGCCCGGCGAATCCAAGACATAAGCAGCGCCAGGGTTAAGACGGTTGTTTTGTGAAGGGATGGATGATTGTACGATATACTCGAAGTTGGGAGGGGAGTCTACATGAGGAGAGGCACAGAACCCAGATATGAGAGGGTCGTGCACAGTACGAGAGAGAGGTTACGGAGGGCAAGGTAAAATTGTCTCTTTTGCTTTACAGACCGTCAATATACCTTTCCATGCTCTCCCATTCTGTCTTGCCCGTGGAGAGGAGGTAGCGGATGTGGTCCTGTGGACGTAGTAGGGATTAGTCTTCACTGGGCCAAAACGTGGACGGGGAAAGAGGAGAAACAAACAAGATCCGTCACCCCTCGGTTTCTCTCAAATTCTTGCCGTGCAAAACGGCGGGTGTCAGCTCGGGTGGACGGGTCCGCAATGCGTCGAGTTGCGCGGAGGATATGTCTGTATAATGCCAAAGCCCGAGACCTTTGGACAAACTAGTTGAGCCCCGCAATCATCAGATTTGAACACGAGAGATATTGGCATTCATAGTGTGTAACTTCTACATACATGCTCCAAGCTCAACGTCGGCCCAAGCCTTGTTCGTGAAGAGCTGCTACCCGTCGCGTATGTGCGGAAAACGGACCCCGCCGGGGCAAGAAAGTGGCGCATTAACGGCAGGTCTATGGAGAGACTTGAGATCAAGGAAACACTTTACGGATAACAGCCATTGGGGGTTCTGTTGCTTGTTCAATGCGCCGTTCTTCTCAGTGGTGATATTCGAGGTGTTGGCGGGAAAAATTCGGGAGGCCAAAAACGTCATGGTCGCAGTGGGCTTTCAGTGAGTGAGCCCCACGCTGAGGCTCTGGGCTGCAACGGACGGTGCCAAGACCAATCCCGCAGCAGCTCAGGGCTCTCAGTCAGCTAGCTACCTGGCACCTTTGAGACGTGTCGCGACACGTCCTTTTATGTACCTTTTTGGAAATCTCACTCTGGGGATATACTGAGAGCGCAAACACCTCACTTTTGACTTCAAGTGCTCGTCTCATTCTCTTTGCCTCACTGTGACTTTGAAGATTCTCATGATGAAGTCAAAGCGCTCGAGAGCAGCGACCAGCCCCATCGAGGTTGCCAATCGCAAGACTGATGAAGAGTTTATTGCTGACTATTTACTTCCTGAGTGAGCACTCCTCTCTCATTTCTCTCTCCAACAATAATAGCCCTATCAGCCCCTCTTCAAAGTTGTTTGATCTCCCCAAGACAACATGCAACTTGAATCACCGTCGGGGATTTTCTCTTCTTTTGCACACCCACCCCCACTGACATAAGACCCAGCAACGCCAAGGAATCCTCCTGGGTGACAGCCTGGACTCACCCAAGGACGGGAACCAAATACACAATCAGCTTGGCACAACCGGCAAACCTCAAACAAGAAGATCTCGATACTTGTTTTGACCTTCTTGTCGAAACAAGCAAGAAGGACTATGAGAATTCGGCAGGGAGGTGGCATCCGGACAAAAAGCTCAACGAGATGAGGTCTCCAGAGCTGAGGTATGTCCTTGTCAAGGAGGAAGAGACTGGCGAACTTCGGGGTTTCACGTCTTTGATGCCGACTTACGAGGAGGGAGAACCGGTGGTGTATTGTTATGAGGTTCATCTGAAGCCAGATCTGCAGGGGTGTGTATTGTTCACTCTGTATTCGAGGCTGAGATGTGGTGTTGATCTAACATGCTTATGAGGACCGGGTTGGGATCTTTACTGATGAGCTTCCTTACGGCTGTTGCTGTTAATTTGCCGCCGATAACCAAGGTTATGCTCACTTGTTTCTTGTCCAACGCTCGTGGGTTGGCGTTTTATAGGAAGCTTGGGTTTGAGAGGGATGACATCTCCCCTGTGCCGAGGATTCTACGGGGGAAGGTGATCGAGCCGGATTATTTGATTATGAGCAAGAGGATAAGGCCGGATTCTGAGTCTTACTAAAAGCCAGACAAACTCACATCGCGCTAGCTAGGCATCTTCTTTTCGGCGGTTGAAAACGCTTGACTGTCAGCCTCACCCCTGCATGTTGATGGGCAGGCCATCTGGTCTTGGCTAAACTCCTATTCCTGTCTTCACCCTCAAATCACCATTCAGGCAGTCACTTTCTGAACAGATAAAATAGCGGCAGCATGGAGCAATGCCGGTGTCACGACACAGAAGGATGTAATCCATGCCAGATCTCAGATCATCCTCCCCGAGCCACACCCAGTCGAGAGTTTTCCACGCAATATATATCAACCCTGCCATCCTCCCTCTTCGGCCCTCTCATTGATCTCCGTCAAATCCACCACCGCATTAACACCATGTCGACCACCCCAGACCAGACACACGCTGCCCCCCAAGACGAGGCCAAACCCCTCCCTACCTCGACGACCACCTCAGAATGGGAAACACCCCTCATCCAATGCTTCCCCTGCGACCTCTTCTGGAAAGCAATCGCCTGCCCATGCATTTGTACATCCCCCCTTCCCCTCTCCCCCCTATCCCCTTCCATCACCACCCCTTAACATTTTTTCTTTTTCTTTTTGTGCTCTAGTCTACGGCCAAACAGCCCAGCGCCTCCGAGACCCTAACCTCCCTGCCGAAGAAAACAACGCCGATTGCAAGGACTTTGCTGTGAATAATGTCCTCCTGTCGATGTGTTTCCTGCAAGTCTAACCCTCCCCCCTAGCATGTAATGTAGGTGCTAATACGAGGAGGGTAGTGACATCATGAAACATCGCGCAGAAATCAGAAAGAGGTACAGCATCCCTGGCAGCGAGACCAAAGACTGTTTGGTGTCTTGCTTTTGCTGCTCGTGCGCTGTGATGCAGCATGATGGGGAGTTGAGGGGACGGCAGGAAAAGGAGGGGATTAGGGTTGGGTATAAGAGTCAGGCGGGGATGGTTCTGCCTGGTGGTGGGGAGCGGCGGCGGGAGGGTTGGGGTGAGGTGGTGCAGTAGTGAGGGGGGTGAAAAGGGACTGTTTGGATCGTGATGATGTTTGTTTATATGTTGGGTTTGGTCTTACTGTCAGCTTTGGAGAGGCTGTGACTTGTTGGGGCAAGATGCAATGTAATGCAAGTGTTTACTGTTCCGCATCTTCTTCAGAAACTCAGCGAGGGACTGCCCAAGAAAAGATGTTACGTGGGTGTATTGACCTGGCGCTGGGGTTTGAGACTGTTGATATGTGGAAGACTTCAAACACTCCCTGGGGGCTATCAGAAAAGAAACGGTCCGTAGAAAAAGGACAATCAATGGCTGTTGATATTGTGGTGAGCAAAAGGAGGTAGGAACAAAAAGTGGGGTCCCGTGTAACCTGATGGAACCAGGAAAAATAATCTCCTCCGGGAAGGCTCGAACTTCCAACCTCCTGATTAACAGTCAGACGCGCTAGCCAATTGCGCCACAGAGGATTTGTTGTTGATAGATCGCTATCAATGTCAACTTATATTGTTGTGCATGTATTCTCCTTCTTGGAGTGACAGACAGCTCGGAGGCTTGCCAGGCGCCTAGAAAGAAAGTACTGGCAACAGTATATAATATCTGTCAGATGATATTCTACAATCAGAAAAGCATGTAGGTAGTTGCAGTTAATCTGGCCCTAAGATGCTTTTGCTTGACAGTAGAAGTAAAATCCTGCAGCATGTCAACGTTCCTCACCACAGCAGGTACCCCGAACCTTGTCTCGCTGCAACCCTCTACTGCCTCGGAAAGCCTTGAAGCTTTTATGAAGGACCTCATTCCCATCCAAGCGCCTATCCACTGACGTTCAAATGCATCCAAGGATTGACGGCCCCCGACCGTTCGTCGCTTTGCCAGTTGAAGTGATGGTTCTCTTCCCTTAAAGACGTCCCATTGCTACCCGTCGTTCCCGAGGCAGAGGATTGCGATCCCAAGGTTTGAGTAGGCTGCTGTCTATGCAAGATAGCATGCTCCCTTCTCAACCGTTCCATCTTGATCCGTCTGATAGCTCGGCTACCTCTCACCACGCGGTGGAAGAATAGAAATATGTAAAGACCTGTAAGTGCCGTCACAGTCTCTCGAAAAAAAAAGTACATCTGAACCAAGAAACCAACAAGAAAGAGGAAGGCAGCTACGACAACGACACCGATGTAGCCCTGGGCTTCTCTTCTAGAGAAGTCAATTAGGTCAATGGGTTGGGTGATGTAATCCTTGACATCCAGAATAGACCTCTGCTTTTGTCTGGGTTTCTTCTGCCGGATCCGTATTAGCCTTATTGCAATTTTGCTTGGGGGAATAACATACCTTAGCCCTCTCAGGTACTATAGCTCGCTCTAATTCTACGGTGTTGACACGCCGTGTAGGACGAGAACGCGGGTCCTCATTTTGGGACGAGAAGCCCGTGTTTGTGAAAGACCGCATGGGCAGCCCTGGACCGGTGCCCAAATCAACCTCTGAGTCTAAACTGCCTGAATCGCTATGTGAGAGATTCTCTGGCGATGCCGTGTTCAGTGAGGAACCCACTGAAGTCGATTGTCTTCGACGAGTGCGTGACGCTGCAATAGGGAAGCGCCGATAAGTTCTCGTTCTCATCGGCAGGTATGGAGTTGACCGAAAATTCCCAACTTACAAGACTTGATACCCAGAGCGGTTAGAGCATAGCTGACGAGAAGAATGACTGGCAGGACCTGGCCAAATTTCCAATCCAGAAGTGGCGTAATATCGGCGCCTCCGTGAGTAAGCGAGGTGATAAGGTCAGTGATCGCTAAAGCAAACCAAAATGTACAGAGGAAAAGATCGTAAATAATGGAGTTCTGCAGCTCGATGACCACATCAAAGCCAACATTGGCAAAAACCGCCCATAGGAGTCTTGCTGCTGAAATTTGGCCTGACCTCCTCTTGTTGATGGTTGTGGTGAGGGAAGTAAACCGTTTGAGGGAACTCGCTTGATTCTTTTCTTGCATTTCCTCCAGGGACTTTTCAATATCGTTTTGGGCTCCTGGATATCCATGCAGCTTTTCCAAAACCACCAGAACCCATGAGCTGATTGCTTTCCGACGAGCATCAGAACCGGAGGGCAGCCGGGGAGCCACATCGGTGACAATGGATTGATAGTAGTTGACGCTCAGTGTCAACACGAGGCAAAACCAATCCCACAGGTATTCAAAGTCTGAGCCAGTCCGTGGCCAAGAGATGTCGCAGGCTGCAAGTGAAGCGTTGTCATACTCCCATGTACTGTACTGCAGATATTTGCAGACTAAAATGCCAGTAAGGCCCAGAATCATTAGCGATACCCGTAAATTTCTCTGAGCCTTCGTGCTCTCCTTGAAAGGAAGTCTTAGAACTGTCAGTGTTGCCAGGTGCACAGTACAGCACAAGTAAGCCAGGTCGCAAGCAGCATGAAATGAGAACATCGATATCGAACAGATCTGGGAATAGATGGCGATGATTAATCCGAATCCAGTCAAGAGCATCTGATCGTTGACCAGGAGAATGAAGCCTTGATAACCGGAGACTTCAGATGTTGCAGTCCATGCGGATCCAGACCGTGACGGTCCGCGCTTGAACCAAGGCAAGGCCATATCATCGATACAGTTGTATTGTTGTTGCGGAATGCGAATCTTGATCCATGCCAACAAGAAGGCAATTATCGCTGCTACTGATGGAAGGATGAACGAGAGAAGGATCTGCAAGGACACTTGTTAGCTAAGGTCCGTCCCTAAGAATGCATTCATGGGGGATGTTTTACTTGCCCCAATACCGGCGATATCAGGATCGGTGATGTCGTCGTCGGCAACACTGGTGCTCTCGGAGCATTCAAAATCCTTGCCACACAGACTAAGGGTAAATGAAACCATGGCATCGTCTGGTATGGCGTTTATTTAGATAAAACAACAGTCCTGCTCCAAATGTAACAATCCTGGCGATTGAAGCCATTTAAGTCGATCCAGGGTGACAGGCTATGAATCTCATGAGCAAATAAAGACCGGTTTTCCGGCTTAGACCGCAATCTCGCCGCAGCCAGGTCGGTGCCAGCTGTACGCTGCAGCAGCCACCTGTACTTTGTATGCAACGTTTCCAATGATTCCTGGTGGCGGCCAGTGGGAGCCCATTGAAGCCCCAATAGGTCTTCGCGCGCGTGGTGACAGCAGCTTCAGCTAGGACACAGCCTCAGATTTGCAAAACATGGGAAATGGTTTCTCGTACTTCAGGGCCTTTGGGAATGGCAGATAAGCGGTGCTAAGGCACACTGCGAGCAGCACTGGGGCCCTGTTAGAAAGCAAGTCAATATTTGTGATCTATTCCAATGCGTGCTCTGAAAGATTACATGGGCACCTGTCGTGGACAGACTGACAGGCTCCAGGCGCCCGGCCATTGGGACAGCTGAGGGCGCAGCGAGAACAGGAAGGAGGAGAGCTGGCGAGATGCTGGCATGGAGGTCAAGAGTGGGGATGCCGCTGTCAAAGCAGGGACTTGAACGGGCGGGTCCCGGAAAACAAGCCGAAAAGCTTGGTTGAACCAAGAGGGTCAAACAGAGGCTACGTGACGTCACCCAGATCCCGGAGAAGGAGATGTTTGGACACCGACTGTTCCGATGAGCCGGTGACTTTGTGCCCCTTCCGCGACTGCAGAGCGCCAGATCTTCGCTACAGGCAGATCGTGGGCTATGCCCGAAGCCACAGTTATAGCCGTGTTATTTACCCTCGACAACTCGGTCGACTTTGGGCCTCAGCCCCGCTCACATCATCTTGACGGAAACGGCAGCGTGTTAGCGCCCAGCCTCCCGGATACTCCGTACGCTTTGCCGGTCGCCTGACGCTTTTATGCTGAACAACAACTTCAACCGCTCACATATCTTAAACAATATCACCAGCCCATGCTCGTGTGTTGCGCGACAGCAACAGCCCAAGCTCCTCCATGTCAGCTCCTCCCGATCAAGCGACGGTCGATGCCCCGCCTAAGCGCAATGGCACGACAACCTCTGCGCTGCTCGAGAAGTACGCGAAGCAGAAGGAGAGGATAAAAACAAAGACAGGCCCTCCAGGCGGATTCGACCCCACGCCTCTGCCAGACGCGCCGCCTGGCTACACTGTCAAGTTCACCTTCTATCGCGCCTTCCACCTCCCCATTGCCGATCTGCATCTCCACTCCTCAGACCCCTTCATCCATGCGACATTGTTGCATGCCGCGCCGACAAGACACAAGGAAGACCCCGTCTTGACCCGACGAACGCGAACACTGAGGAGAACCACCGAACCAGAATGGAGGGAAGAGTGGATTGTGGCCAACGTTCCAGCGTCGGGATTTGCGCTCAAGTGTCGCCTGTACGACGAGGATTGGCCAGATCATGACGATAGATTGGGCAATGTTACCGTTAGAGTCCCGCATGTCAGTGAGGACTGGGAAGGATTTGGACCTGAGGGCAAGATATTTGAGGTCAAGAAGCGCTCCGGCAGCCGCAGAGCTTACTTCGTCCACGGCATCAGGTCGGTATTCTGCCGCAATGTCCCACTGACACCAAGAATGCAGCTTGGGATCGAGGTGTTGGGAAAGTCGGACCCTCCGCATGCCCAGGTTTATACCGTTGGTCCAACCCACTGGGTGAAGCACTACAGCCCAATGATTGGGTGGGTAACCGGTGTCAAAGTCAACAAGGACGCGGACAACGACGCGACGTCTTCTATCCACTCGAAAAAGAGTCGTCGCACAAAGAAGTTTGAGTGGGTTTCACCTTACTGCCTGCTGGATCTACACATGGACGCTGATAACTTGCAGCTTCCAAGCAAACGAGATACAACTCGCCGGGCCTGTACCGCCCAAGCTCTACCACCGCTATGTCGAGTTCCGCCCCATGATCGGCCGCATGTTCTCCTCCAAAGGCTTACGCGGCCGGATTCTCAATGCCGTCCTTCACAAACAGCATCACCGAATCTACAACTTTGACTCCAGCACCGAATACGGCAACTTTGAAGCTTGCAGCGAAGAGGCTTCTCTCCAGTTTCTCAAGATGGTCCACTTTGACGAAGGCGGCCGCATCTTTACATATGTCATTACTCTTGACGGCCTGATGCGCTTCACCGAGACAGGCAAGGAATTCGGCATCGATCTTTTGTCGAAACACTCGATGCACAGCGACGTGGCCACGTACATAGCCTGCTCGGGCGAGTTCTTCATCCGGCGTCTCGCTCACCCGCGCAAGTCACATCATCGCCATCACAGCCACGTCTCCTCGGGCGAATCCTCGTCTACTCAGCCCCCAACCCCACCGACGCATCCGCCCAACGAAAACATTGGCGATGGGCCCCCCAAGTCACCCCCACCACCCAAGCCTCAGCTTTACCAGCTGATCATTGACAATGACAGCGGGACGTATCGTCCGGACAAGTCTGTCTTGCCAGATTTGCAGAAATTCTTGGAGAGGAATTTACCTGGGATGGAGATCAAGGCTATGCACTGCGACGAGGAGGAGCTGAAGAAGATGAAGAAGATACAGATGGAGATCAAGAAGAAGGAGGGTCCGGCTGTGAGGATGGTGCTGAACCGGAGCCCGAGCAACTCGAGTTTTAGCTCGGATGATGAGTCGAGATTGGGGGATTTGACGAATTTGGGGGATGATGATGATGATGAGGGGGGGGGGTTGGGGTTGAGGAGTAAGAAGGAGAGGGCGTTTGATCTTGTGCAGGAGCCGCAGAGGTGGAGGGAGGTTATTGGGTACCCGAAGAAGAGGAAGATGGGGGACCTGGAAAAGGGGAAGGGGTTGGATGGGACGGGGGATGAGGATGAGAAGGTTGGTGGGAAGGTTAGGGAGGAGGTGGAGGAGGAGGGGGTTAAAGAGGGTGGGGATGGTAAGGCTGACGGGGATGTTAAAGGGCATGGGGGAAAGACAAAGGTTGATGGGGATGTGAAGGATCTTAGTGACTCGAAAGAACAGGACGAGAAGAGGGAGGAAAAGAGCGGCGATACTGAAGGTAATGGTAGCGGTAATGGTAATGGTGATGCCGCAAGTTCAGGGGTTGAGACCAAGGCGTGAAATGCTGGTCTAAACGAGAAGGACAATGACTTGACGATATAGATACCTCATTTTTGCTTAGCCGGGCAGGGCAGGATTAGGGCCGATGGCGTCCGGAGTTTGGGTTGCTTTATGGCATCATGGTCAGGGCACTGATGATTCCCAGTTGGGTTAGCGAGCGTTTTGTTTGTATTTCTGCTTCTCTGATCTATATTGCTGAAGGTCTAGATTTCATTTAATCCCACCATCCGCCAGCTTCACTCTTGCCGACAGTCTTATATGGAGGCCTCTCCTACAAGCACAGTTTCTTTTTCCTATTCATTGTTACGCTCACATTTCTTTCTCTCTCTCTTTCTCCTCACAAACTATTTGGTGGCGATAAAGGCATCTCCGGTCGTGATGGCGGCGCCTCGGTCCCGGATGCTTCCACAACCCCCACGCTACCTGCCTCGGAGGTTTTGGGACTTGACAGCTGTGAGTCTTTTTGTGGTGGGTCTTGGCAAGCCACCGCAGCATTCATCCCAACGTCCATGTCGTCCATCTGGGAGGCTGCCAAGGCGAGGTCGATGCCCCGTTGGAGGACCTGGGCATCTAGACCACCACCAGCCATGGTCAGCATTTGGTGGTGTGGTGTGGTGTGGTGTGGTGTGGTGTGGTTACGGGATTGTGCAAGTTCAAACTCACAAGCATGATTAACCATCATCCCGGGCCCCTCCTCAAAACCCACCCACAGGGCCTCGAACTGCTCATCAGACATTTGCGTCTCTTTTGCCAGGGGGAGAGTGCTGTCCCCGATGGCTACATACCAGAGGACTATAGCGAGGGCGCCGTTCTTCTTTTGGGGGTGCTGCATTAGGGCGATGGGCTCGGTGAGGCGGGCGGTGTTGGGGAGGAGGACGTCGCCGGAGGGGTCGAAGCGGGCTTTTTGCAGCTGGGGGTTGTGTGTGGAGGTGGAGAAAGGGGGGGTGCAGCGGGTTGATAAGGGGACGGGGAGGAGGGTGGCGGTGCAGCCTGCTTCTTCGTAGGTTTCGCGGATGGCGGTTGCCTCGAGGGGTTCGGACCAGTCTTTGCGGCCGCGGGGGAGGTAGTAGGTTTTAGAGGTGAGGTCGTGGATGATGAGGACTTTGCGGGCGGGGAGGTCGACGGTTATGGTGCCTGAGGCGAGGTAGAAGTCGGAGGAGAAGGTTACTTTCCAGGGAGGGGACATGATGGGGATGGGGAGGGGGGAGATGAAGGTGTAGATGTGGGAGGTTTGAAGACTGTGAAGTGTGAGAGGTTGAAGACTGTGAGAGATTGAAGACCGTGAGAGGCTTTGGAAACTGTGAGAGGGCCGAGTAAATGGCATTGAGCCTTGGTGCTAATGGTTGATATTAGAAAAGAAAGGTAAGGTCAAGCACATGAGAGCGGTGAGTTTGCACGTACAAAGTCCAGAGTAGGCAGGTGTAAGTGATCCGACCTGTGGGCGATATCGTGACGACAAGGCATCTTATACCCCAGCACCTTCTCTTGTTGGGTTTCCCAGGATAGGCACTATCATAGGTAGGGCAAGGTAACATTGGAGTTCCCGGAACCATGGTGTGAAAATCAGATCACCTTTGTTGGCTGAAAGGGGCTAGGGCTACCTGGTTCTGGACCTGCCAAACCGAGGAGCACACGACACACACCTTTGATGACCAAAAAGCACCCCACCACAAAATCTACATCGTATCCCCATTCGTATGTTCACCGATGATGATAGGTGACGAATTACCTCCCTGTGCATAAGGTAACAGGTAAACACCATGAATCTAGGGCGCTGCAGTCCTTCCCAGCTCCTGGAATCTCATCTGATCACTAACTGCAACGGTTCAACCGGTTATGCCTTTGCTAGATCCTCCGAGACACCACGGATGACGTCCTCAGCCGTGTTCTCTCTCGCCTTGGTTGATACCTAGATCGGTGATAGCTCCGGCCGAATGAGGTGGCATATCTGGTCAGATCCCCGTTGACCTTTTTATCAAGAAAAAGCAAGGGGTTCCGGGAAACCTGAGGGATTTCATGATCGGATTTCCGATCTGGCGTGCTATTGGAGAGTTTGGGTGATCACAGCAGCAGAATGGGAAAAGCAAACATGAATTTTTTTAGGGCCGCGCAGCAATGAGCCGCACTTTGGATGACTGTCAAGACGGAGGTTTCCGAGCGTGCTGGCTGCAGGTTGGAGGATTTAAGGTCGGTGAGCAGCTGGAGACGGCACTTCAGAGATGAAGGTTTACGGGATGAGAGGTAGTATAGGTAGGTATATATGCTTGATATTCTCTTGATGGATCGTCGCTAAGAGCATGTAGGTATACACAACTAGGTTACACTGCCCCTTTCAGACCCAGTTTGGCTGCATCATTGTGAATGCGGGGTTCGGGACCGAAAAAGTGGTGTGACTTTGATCTGATAGGAGGGGTTTGGTGCTGTTCGACATATCCTGTGATAGTTATCAGTGTAGGTATGAAATGAAGTCAGCCAACAGGGCACAAACACATTCCATCTGATGATGTATCTATCTCCTTCAACTTTCTCGAGTCTCTAATCAAGTCTGTCATTGTCTGATGTTGAAAGCTCCCCGCCAAAGAGCCAACGTTGAGGCTTGGCATGGATATCACCTACCCACAGTACCTATTCATCCGAGACCCTGAATTGATACTGATACTGGTCCAAGACATACCTGATTAAAGAAGATATCCCCAAGAAAAGACCTTGTGCTCACTGACACCAGATCGTATCGTTCAACACGTGGGAGATCTGAGGGCAAGCATCCGGGACATCCTGACAAAGATATGCAGGGATGGCCCTGACCAGGCGATCAGCCAAACGATCTGGGGATTCCAAAGCCTTGGCAGCACTCCTTCTGGAAGCCAATGCCGGGGCCGACGCGAATGTCAGATGAGCTTCCACGCTTCTCGACCGAGCCCCTGAATACGCGTTCATATCGGTGATACGGAGTATTGGGCAACCAACCTGTTAGAAGGAGCGGAAGCACGGTCATCTCAACACAACTTCCAAGCTCCCGTCTTTGAGGACCAGAGACTGGCTGTCACTGTTACTAGCGCTGGCCAACGACGGAAGCTCGGTCCATCTTCCACCTCAATTACAGTGGACACCCCGCGCCTGCGCCACCAAGAAACGACGTCTGAGAAACAAGAAAGCCGCTAACAATTTTTGGAGCTCCCCGTTCGTCCAAGTGCCACTCACAGTCGCGCTCCAGCTCCCATCCTTTGGGCACGAGTTGTCATCGTAATTGGCGTCGCCTGTTCCGAGTGGGAACTGTTTATATTGTTCTCCAGGACCCTTTTCGATAATCAACTCTCGAACACTGTTCATTAAATCCCCAAAGGCCTGGAGACGCGGCTCCCCCCGGCAGATGAAACCGAACGAGCCCCTTGGTTGCAATTCGATCGAGAAACGAGATTACAACATCCAGGCGACTTCACTGTTTGCAAGACACCACCAGCCCAGCCACCACCTACGGATACCTCACCCTGACTGCTATCAAGAGCCCGTTTGATCAATCCCTTGCTCTCCAAACTCACCATCACCAGTCAAGTGGGCGTTTGCCGACGGTACTTGGGGCGTTTGGTTGGTGGATGAGGACCAGGTCCTGTCCGACGGCGCCGAGGGATGCAGACGGCAAAGGGAAAGGCTGAGGCGCTTGGACGGAAGGCCAAGGTGTGTTTTCCTTCTTCTCTCGAGTCTGGGTTGTTCTAGTGTGTAATCGTGATAGCTAATCATGATCTCTCTTCGCTCTGTCTAGCTCACTCAGTCGTACCAAGAGCTCCTTGAGTAGGCCCGCCCACCAACGAGACCATCGCTACGATTGTATCACGCTGACCAACCTGTTCCCACAGCGAGTTCTCCAACAAGGACCTGAAATCTGTCGGAAACTACACTCTAGGCCGGTTAATAGGAAAAGGATCCTTTGGCAAGGTTTACCTTGCTACCCACAAACTCACAAATGGCTCCAAGGTTGGTTCTGAGCCGCGCATGCCATTGGGCAAGGGCAGTCGTTGATGTGTTTATTTTTTTTATTTCTAGGTTGTTCTCAAGTCGGCGAAGAAGGACGATGCCAACCTGGCCCGCGAGATTCACCACCACCGCCAATTTGTACACCCACACATAGCAAGATTATACGAGGTGATTGTGACCGAATCCATGGTATGGCTGGTGCTGGAATACTGCTCGGGTGACGAACTCTACAACTATCTGATCGACCATGGCAAACTCCCCGTCGAAAAGGTGCAAAAGACGTTTACGCAGTTGGTCGGCGCCGTGTCCTATGTCCACCAACAGAACTGCGTTCATCGCGACTTGAAGCTCGAGAATATCCTTCTCGACAAGAATGAGAACGTCAAGCTGTGCGACTTTGGCTTCACCCGGGAATACGAGGGCAAGGCCAATTACCTTCAGACCTTTTGCGGCACCATATGCTATTCGGCCCCCGAAATGCTAAAGGGAGAGAAATACGCCGGCGAGAAGGTGGACGTGTGGAGCTTGGGGGTCATCTTATACGCTTTGCTCACGGGTGAGCTGCCGTTTGACGACGACAACGACCAGGTCACGAGAACCAAGATATTGACGGAGGAACCAAACTATCCCGATTTTATACCAGCCGACGCCTTGTCACTCCTCAAGCTGCTCCTCTCGAAACGCCCCCTGCTACGACCGACACTACCGGATATTCTGGCGCATCCTTTCCTCGCCGAGCACGCACCGCAGCAGCAAGAGATCCTCAAACTGGAACGACCGGCACCTTTTTCGACCCCTCTTGAGAAGGAGGTACTGCACCGGATGAAGAGTGCCGGGGTGGATATCGAGGCTGTGATGGAGAGCGTCATTTCTCAACGATGCGATGCTCTGGGGGGTTGGTGGACGTTGCTGCTCGAAAAAGAAGTACGCAAAGTGATACGCAGAGAGAGGAAACGAAGAGAGAGGGCCGAGAATAGGAATTCACGCCGCTTTTCCCAAGCTTCCAGTCGACTGAACGCTCTGGCGACGGTCGAGGAATCCCAGTTCGCGAAGCTCTCAGATACCCCCCATAGGACACGGGGCCGGAGCCAGAGGAGAAGCGCCCACTACCCTAGCTTGACGATTCCGGACTTGCCCGGGTTTGCCGACTTTTCCAAGACTGGAAACGGAAATCTTGCTCTTAGTCCTGATGGGGAGGTGCCACCTCCACCGATTGACAAGGACTCGATAAGGTCAGTCAGCTCGTCGAGGCATCGGAGGCCGATCCCACCACCAAAGGAAGGGGTTCTAAGAAGCGCACGCTCTAGGGGCAGCACCCTCCATCTAGTGACGACAACAGACGCGCTAGAGGCCACCACCACCTCGCAGGCAGGTGACCCAAAGAAGGTGAAGAAACGACCGTCACATGCCATCCTTGCGACGTGGAAGAACTGGACACATTGGCTCTTTGAGCACACGGGGATGAAGAATGCCAGCAGGCGTGGAGGAAGCCAGTCGGCACCTAACCTTCTTTCCAAGCAGACAAGCGCAAAGGATACCAAGTCAAAAGATGCCAGTCCCCGGCCCCAGACCAGCAAGTATCCGGTGAGCGGGTCTAATGCAGCTCCTGCTACCGCCAGCCTACCCAAGAGTGTGGTTGCCAATGGCTACCCACCCCGCGGCTCTTCGGCAGCTCAAGGGACGTCGTCCAACCCAATATCGCCGACCTTGTCGACCCCATCCATGCACCATCCCCGGATGCCCAGCTCCTCTGGGTACAAACGGCAGTCCATGTCGCCTTCACCTTTGACACCCCGCTCAACCATCCGGCGATCCTCTGGGCCCACTGGACTCCGCGGACGAAAGTCTACCTCGTCATCTGTCTCGTCAGTGCGGTCCCTGCATCACACGCACCACCATAGCCACAGCAAGGCTAGCTCAACGTCGTCGAACGGTTCCGTCTCCACGTCGGTTTCCAAGACGCCAATGCAGAATGCTCGAAGTCCCCACCACTCTGTCAAGGTTTTACCGGCCACTCCTACCGGCAACACCTTTCCCAGCAACATCCGTCTTGTGCGGGACCGCAGCGGACCACCCCTGAGCGTCTTCAACGAAGGACTACCGGCCTTCAACGGAGCCATGATTCCACAGCCCCCAGGCAGCCCGAACCCGTTTTCGGGTAACGGAGTCATGTTTGCCAAACGCAAGCGGAACATCTTCAAGGGGCCCATGCTGAGTTTGTCAGGTTCAAGAGACACACGCAGTTCGGGGTCTGGATCAGCAAGCCACTCTAGAAGTGCGAGTGCTAGCGGTCTCGGGCGTAGGAGCGGCGAGATGGCGATTCAGGAGGTGGACGAGGACGACGAAGACGACAATCTGACCGAACGGGGAAGGGGTCCTCCCAGTGTGACAGACGAACTTGAAGAGGTGGAAGAGGTTGACTCTTTCTCGCCAATCGTCAAAGGCCCGGGCGAGATTGTGGAGGAGAGGATTTATGAGGAGGGAGAGGAAGAGGCAGAGTTGAAAGCTGGGTTGCCTGGCTTGCAGCCCGCGGCGACGATAACACCATCGCCCGTGTTATGAGGACGGTGTGCACAAAACATCTATCTTTTTTCTGTCTTTGCTAATCTGCATGAGAACATGAGTGACGGGGGACCAGGCCGGGGCCTGGTATGCCCGGTACGGCCGAGAAATAAGTGAGGAGTTACAGAAGTCAGAGCTGAAGCGGGGATGTGTAATAGTTGCCGCAAGAAGTGGCGGCGTGTTCCAAGCATGGGCTGGCTGTATATCTAGCTACAGCAGTAGCACGTTATTGTTGCTTTTCCTTTGTCTTTACAGCCGGGCGTGTTTTGAGCTTGTATTGTAGTTGTTAAGGATACCACTTGAAAGAATTTCTTTTTGCTGTTTATGTTGTTGATTTCAAATATCATTGACTCACGTCGTCGTTCACGGGTTGTATTGTTGGGGAGCAGGAACAGCTTCCGGAAACTGTGGTCTGGTCGGCAAGTGCCGCCGTCTGCCTAATCTCATGATCACTTCATACATCTTTTTCAAACCAAGCGTAGGGATCATTTTCGTCCCGGAAGGCTCGGTGATGATAGTTGCAAAAGATGTCCGAGAAGGCAGCCATTAGCGTGGGAATGTCAAGTGACCTGTCAGCCAGTCTTGCAGCCGTCTGGGGATGCGATGTTCCTGCAGTTTCCCATACACCCATACACTTGGAACACTAGAAGGCAAAATATCAGCTTGGCGCTCGTCGGGGGAGGACGACGGGTTGAGGCTATTGGCTCATTGGACAATGGTAAGCGATTGGGGAGTCTGGGCTGAAGAGAGGGCCGAATGTCGGACTTTGTGACAGGTACCTGGTAAGGCAAGGTCAGGTACGGTGAGGGGGGGTGCTGAGTGTGATATGCTGAGCTTCACGAGGTTTGAGGTTGGCTGAGATGATTCCCATCTCTATTCTTAGCTGAATATATGTCTCCTCCTCTCCTGTCCTGGTTTTCAGCATGTGTGGTTCGAGGGTAGGTCGCTGGCTCTTTGGGCGAGTGGCACCCTCCCACATGCAACCAATTAATATCGAGCCGTGTTTTGGGGGGGGCTTGGGTTGCACACAACGTGCCGCCGACCACAGTTTCGCACACCCAGACCTTTGCTGCTGCGAACTATTGCAACTACTGCACGCCCTGCATCTGCCCCCCTCACGAGCCTAGCCTCACTCTGTTCTCCCGACCCTGACATCAGGCGGGAGGAGGAGCGGGGGAAGCAAGCCACGATTCAGTAAATGTTTCTTCCCGTGACTCCCCTTAATGTTCACAAATTAATACTCATACCGGTAGGGCAGAGAGAAGCAGCTTCAACGCTTCCTCCCGCTTGCTTTGCCGGCCCCAGGTTTTGCCGTCCTTTGGGACTACAAAGCGAGTTCGACTGGCTGCACTGCTGACGATCTGGGTTACTCCGTAGCCATGCCCATCATATTAACCTGCCTGCACGTCGCCGCTGCCGCCACATGGAGGCAGAGAGATTCCCAGCAGCTGGGGCAGGCCTGATCTGGTTCGATGGTCGATTAGTCGGGTCGTCGTCACGCAGGCCAAGAAAGCAACGACAAAATCCCGTGGATGATAGGCAGATAGCTGATGAGGTTTTGTGATACCGGCTCCGAAGGACGGGGGATGGGATGACAAGGACTTTAGCAGAGGGGCAGATCATCATTGCCTTTCCTCTCCCGGACAGTTTTCTCCTTTGACCTAGATTAGGTTACTTTTTTCCTGTTTATATGCCGTGCTTGTTGTACCTTACCCTAACCTACCTAAGCTCGGTCAGGTCTTCTTCTGGGATATGGTCCCCCTCATCACACACGGGTCCGGCTTACCCAAAACCGCCGCCGTGCTCACACACACATAAACAAACTCGGATATGCACTCATGTATTGTCCATGGATATCTCCTCTTCCCCCCCCCCCTTCCCCCTTGACCAAGTTGAAAGGGTTCTGGATCGCCAAGATACGCCCACACATCCACACACTACAGTTCACCTCCGATTCCATGCCTAGCGTCAAGCGGCTCACTCGCAGCCGGAGTCACATCACGGCTCTTGTCTCCGAGGCGGCGGCCGAGTTTTGACGTTCGGTCCCGGATAGTGAGGCTATCACGGTCAAAACCATAGATTATTGTCTTTTCGGGAGTTCTGGGCGAAGCAGGCAGCTAGGGTATCATTGCTTCCCCTTGCAAAAAAGCACTATGAGTTTTTCGTGGTGGTGGTGGTGGTGGTGTCGGGCTTCAACTTGACCTGTTTGAGGTGGGTTATCAGAGTGGCTTGTTTTGTCGAGGAACACTGGGATGTGTGTGTGTGTGCGCGTGTGTGTGTGTGACGAGAAAGTTGTTCACCACCACATGGTCGGACGGAGATGTTGTGCTCATTTGCCTCCCGAGACACGACCTGGTGGATGGTGGAAAAGGAATTTTCTCTCTCTTTTGGGAGACAAGGGTCATGTCTGGGAGGGGTCACTCATTCTGCTTGGACCAGTTTCGATGGATGGTGGGCTTTGGGTGGAAAGGGGGAGGGGGTGATATTGAGATAGGTAGCTGAGGGTTCAAGTGGTCGGAGTATAAAGATGAGTATTATCCCGATCTTCTGTTGGTTGTATGTCTCACTTTGTTCCTTGAGGTTTTGTGAGTACTACCTACCCTAGGTACTGGACTCTACCACCGTCTTCTCTTCCAACTTGAGCATTGCCCAAGGTTCAGAGGTTTTTATTTTCTTGTGTCCTTTGGACGGGTGCTACCAACCTGTGTTCCAATCGTCCTTGAAGTAACTGTCCGTTGAAGTCTCATCGGACAGTTTTTTTGGGGGTGAGGATCATGATGGTTACCACCAAGGTTGTCTCCAACATGCTTCTGTCCTACGCGGCTATTTTCCTGTGGTGGTGTCTCGTCCCGGTTGGTGGTGCGGTCGCTCTGGGTTCTTCCCTCGAGCAGCCTGTTACGCCGCTGCTGAGGCCGCGATCACAGCGGCTACAGCCGAGACAGACGTGCAACACTGCGACGAACAGGCAGTGCTGGACCACGAGCCCGGCGTTCAATATCAATACTGACTGGGAGGCTTCGACGCCGGTGACGGGTGTGACAAGGACTTATACCTTTACGCTGACGGAGGTGAATAACTGGATTGGTGGAGATGGGGGGATCAAGGCGAAGGCTATGCTGGTGAATGGTATGTTTTTCTGTTCTATCGTAGATTTCAAACAAGGTTGGAACTAATATCTGTGTCTAGGTCAATTTCCTGGTGAGTACCAACTTGATGGACAAATTAAGGAACAGTGATTCTGATTGGTGTTTTTCGACAGGACCAACGATTACAGGCAGTAGGTTTGATTTTCTGACGTTAAAGCAGAAGATTCAAAGGCTAACAAACTACAGATTGGGGAGACAGAATCAATGTTACCGTCGTCAACAACCTCGTCAGCAACGGGTGAGTCGCCGTTTACGACTCAATTTGATGATCCCAACAGCTAACTGGTTGGGCTAGCACATCTATCCACTTCCACGGCATCCACCAAAAGAATACCAACAACAATGACGGCGTTAGTGGTGTGACCGAGTGCCCGATTGCTCCTGGGAGAAGTAAGACTTACTCTTTTATTGCGACGCAATACGGCACTGCCTGGTGAGTTCAAGCTGAGTTGAAGCAGCATGTACCAGGCGCTGATAACAAGCCAGGTATCATTCCCATTTCTCAGCACAGTATGGCAACGGTGTTCTGGGAGCCATTCGCATCAACGGCCCAGCATCAAGCAATTACGACGATGATCTTGGTCCGCTCGTGATTAGTGACTGGTATTACGGCTCGGCGTTTGCGCTGGCACACCGAGTCAACAGCCCTACGAATCCATAGTATGATAACCCCTGATGTTGGGTTGATCTGAGATGGCTAACCACCAGTAGCATCCCCGGCTTCCCCGGGTCGCCACCTCCTAGTGACAACATTCTGTTCAATGGCCTGAACAGAAGAGCCAACGGTGCTTCGGGAAGCTATCGCAGGTTCACCCTCACGGCCGGACGAAAGCACCTCCTCAGACTCATCAACGGCTCAGTCCAAGCCAGTTTCACCGTGTCCTTGGTAGGACATTCCTTCACCATCGTCGCCACCGACATGGTCCCTATCACGCCCGTCACGGTAACAAGCCTCTACATTGGCGTCGGCCAAAGATACGACGTCATCATCAACGCCAACCAGCCCGTAGCCAACTACTGGTTCAACACCACCTTCTCCTCGGCCCCCTGCGGCGGAGCGACCAACCGCCCAGCCATGATCTTTCAATACTCCGGCGCACCCACCGCAAACCCTACCTCCGCGGGAACAGTCCCCCCCGACTCCCGCTGCGCCGATTCTCTCAACTACACCCCCATCGTCAGCAAGTCTGTCCCCTCAGCCTCCTTCACAACAGGCAACACCCTCAACACCCGACTCCAAATCTCCACCACCGGCGGCATCTCCCGAGTCTACTGGCCAGTAAACAACACCCCCATGAAAGTAAACTGGAACAACCCAACCCTCGAGTACGTCAAAAACTCCAACACAGGCACCATGCCCGCAAACACAAACGTCATCTCCGTCCCTACCGCAAATCAATGGACCTTTTGGCTTATTGTAAACAACTCCTCCATCCCTCACCCCGTCCACCTCCACGGACACGACATCCTCATCCTCGGCGCCAGCCCCGCCCTGGCCGCGCCGATCAACCCGACTAATCGGCTGAGGCCGTACAACCCCTCTGTTGATGGCCCGGCCTTGAAAATTGCGAACCCGACGAGAAGGGACACGACGATGCTGCCGGCGTGGGGGTGGTTGGCGCTCGCGTACCGGACGAACAATCCGGGGGCGTGGCTGATGCATTGCCATATTGCCTGGCATGCTAGCCAGGGGTTTAGTGTGCAGTTTTTGGAGCAGCTGACGAGTATACCGACGGTGATGAATCTGAATGAGTTGACGGGGAATTGCAATAATTGGGATGCGTTTTACCCGAGTGGGGCGCCGTTTTTGCAGGATGATTCGGGGATTTGATTTCTTGGGTTTGGGGGTTTGTTTTGTTTTTGATTTTTTTTTTGATTGGGGGCGGAGGGGGGCTGTTTACTACTGGGACGTGTTTGTCGGTTTCTTGAGCACCTTGTTTTTCTTAGTTCGACCGTGTATTTGTGCTCGAGAGTGAATAAACGCTGTATTATTGCTCCTTATTACAAACATGGTAACGAAAGGGGTATTGCAATCTCCTGTCTCTCTAGGTCTCATGTTTCTCCATTACTTCTGCTCCTTCTTCCCAAACCCCAACCAACCCCCCGCCGCCTTCCCCCCATTCACCACCCCGCTGCCCACCGTCTTCCCTCCCTCAACAACACCACCAACAAGGGTATTCCCCGCCCCGCTGACGGCATTGCTGTTTCCCCCGGGGACATACCCGCCCTGACCATCCTTGCCCTTTCGCTCAAGCCTGTTGACTCCCTCCCTGGAGAGTAAATCGCCGACTGGTCTGCCCAGGCCGTCCTGGCCGAGCTGGGAGGAGGCAGTGGTGTGGATGTTGTCTTGGAGGGTGTCGGCTTGGGAGATGCCGGTTACTTTTGTTTTGTCGAGGTTTTCTAGAGGGACGACTGGGTTAGTGGCTATAGTGGCTAGGAAGGGAAAGGGAAAGGGAAAGGGATATACCTTTGGTGGTGTAGCTTGCTTTGTTGTCGCGGGTGAAGTAGCGGAGGTAGAGGTCTTCGAGGTAGGGAACCCAGGTTTCGTAGAGTGTGTTGTATTGGGTTTTTGTCCACTCCATTTTTTTGCTTGTTTTCGATGTTCCGATTTAGGGAAGATAAGGTAGGTAGGTCAGGTGCGTGTTGTTGTTGAATTAATTTTCAGTTTGGGTTTTATGTTCTAGGTAGGTAGGAGACGGGAGAATGGGAAACCAAAACTTGAGGCTGGATAGACCGAATGACCCCTTATTATGTCTGCTTTCTCGTCACCTACCCAAGCAATCTTGATTTTGGGCACCGACTTACACGCGAAGAAACAAGTGTGGCTGCTGGGGGCAATGATGAAATGTGGCGGGTGGATGCTACGTCATGCTGGGATGACTTTTCCCTGTTTTGGATGTTGACGGGTGGAAGTCGCCAATCAACGGCAGGGACGTTGGCGATAGGAGGTGTCACAAGCCACACCTCCTTCATGATTGGGATTATAGCATAATTTTCGTTATTGGAGGATTTCTGGGTGCTGGAGAAAATATGGTGAAAAATGAAAACAGGGATATGATGGTAACACTTTCTTCTTCAAAGTTACAGAGAAGAACAGTCACAAGCGTTACTCTACCCCGGCGGGGATTGGGAGTAGGATTGACGGTGCCATTCGGGATAGCAGCCTTCCTAATCGCCCAAACTCGTAGACCATCTGCTCCATGCTCGATCTCAATTTCCGTGTCAGCACAATCCGAGTATTTCTGCCATACTCCCTACACTAGCATCACCGCAAAGCAAAAAGAAGGAAATCGGGCTTGATATTCAAACTGACCTTCCCCAGTGCCAACAAAACAACCTTTTACATAACCTGGGACGTACTCAAGCATCCCATCACAAAGGGAATAAGCTGGCCAGTAGAATCGATAGTGTTGATGCCTCGGATGTCATTCCAGCGAATTGTGTACTCGATGCTGAGGATGAACCAAGCTATACTACCCAGTTGAAGAAGGTTCCAAACCACCACGCATATTTTCTGATATAATAGCAGTGGTTTCTCGGCCGAGTTTGAACTCTCACCACTCCAACCTACCGACATTGTCTTTGGCTCTGCCGATACATTCTGCGCCTGGCTCGGGATCAAGCAGCAAGCTGAGCCATGCTTGGCGTCCATTAACTTCTTGCCGCGGTCAATAACCTACATCAGCAGGGAGGAAGCGGGAAAAGCCGAAGGGATGCAATACCCATCACGAGAATTATCCCAGAGCCTCGTGAAGCGTCGTGCCTGTAAGCCACGAACCACTGGCCCTGCCTTGGCGTCGCAGGGGCAAACTGGAACACAAACTACATAGTTCTATTGCTTGGGAATCAATCAGTCATATTTATCGAACCATATTTGAACAAACGACGTAAGTAACGTATATTATAAGCGAGTGACCCATATAAGCGAGTGACCCACTTCCTTCGTAACATAACACCTTCGCACTCAACAACAATTTCCTCAACCATCCAAGATACCTTCTAATTCAAATGAAGCCTATATAATTTTAGCCCTCCAAGCACTTTAAAACGACAAGAATCTAAGCGAACGAGCCGCAGCTAAGATCTATGGAGTCGATCGTAAGACTCTAGGGCGTCGGCGCGCTGGCCGGCCTACACGACGCGATACTACGCCCAAATCGAAGAAGCTTACTTAATCCGAAGAAAAGGTTATTATTTAATACGTTATTAAGCTATATATATGAGTTTTTCTACTAAGATTACGTGGTATGGAAAATATAGTTAACCAATTACTATACGTACGCGACGCGCCCCCTATTAGTAAGCTCTAGGTATATAACTTCGTTAAACGTTAGCCATAATTCTATATACGTTTTATACGTAAATACGATTATTAGAGAGCTAAATGTAAGGATCTAAAGGTTATTACCGAGTGGTTTACGCTCGTACGGAATACTAAGGCCAAGTACGGTATTATAAATAACGATATTTTATCACGAATATAATATAGATACCCGTAAAAAACAATTAATAGGGAAGAGGAAGTACGGCAGCTAATTAAGAGAAAGGAGAATGGACCAATAAGAGGTGGATTATCCGGGATATAAAGGAATCATAAGCGATTCTCAGGAATCACTTATAATCCTTAAAAGTCGGTTATAATCCAGGGAAAAACAAAATAATCCAGGCTTAACATTAAGTTTATATATACAGAGGAATTAAATAGCTTATAAATAGTTCCGTAATATATAATTTATAATTATATTTACGATATTTTATATTTATATTAAAATATCTTATTATATATTATTTAGCTACACCGAACTAATTATTAGAAGTTACTTTTAACCTGTATCCCTTTTAAAAGTTTTGTACAGAAGTTCGTTACATATTTATAACTTCGACGAGACTAGGTTTATAATAGGCATTATTTTCGCGGGTATAGTAATTACGACCTCGAACGGCCTTAATAAAGCAAAACTAGCCTAGCCTAATAACCGCGAATGGACAACCGTAATCTAGGGAGTTAATACCTTCGGCTAAGCCATCCCTCCTTTTATTATTTCAGCCGCATAATATTACCTTACTAACTAATATACTAAGTGCAATCTACCGTTTACCTAACGTATCGTAATTACCGATAATAGCTAGACTACTAATACGGTAAGCTTAAATTAAATTAAGTACTTCGACTACCATACGGCGCCCCGTATAAAAAACAAATACCGGTTATTAATCCTCGACAGCCATAAAAGCTACTACTCGACCGAATTTAAACGTTACTACTAGCAAAACAATATTATTACGCTTTACATACCTCCACACTCCTCCCACCTCCTCCAGCCACTCGATATTAGCTACTTTAGGCCGTTAAAACAAGCGTACGGTCGCTAAATCGAGGACTTAATACGCATATATATTAACTATATAAGCAAGCTCGAGTTCCTTTATGCCTTCCGCGAGGCTTTCTTCGCCTCTATAACAGAGAAGAATATATAGGTGTCACGAATATAATGTGGACACCCGCAAAGAACAACTAATAAGGAAGAGGAGGCACGGCAGCCAATTAAAAAAAAGGAGGATAGACTAATAAGAGGTAGATTATCCGGGATATAAAGGAATTATAAGCGATTCCTAGGAATCACTCATGATCCTTAGGAGTCGGTTATAATCCGGGGAGAAACAAAATGATTTAGGCTTAGCATTAGGTCTATATATACGAAGGAACTAAATAGCTTATAAATAATTCCGCAGTATACAATTCATAATTATATTTACGGTATTTTATATTTATATTAAGATATCTTGTTATGCACTATTTAGCTACACCGAACTAATTGTCAGAAGTTACCTTCAACCCGTATCTCTTTTAGAGGTTCTATATAGGGGTTCGTTATAATAGGGTAGCTTTGCGGGTATTAGCCTTATACCGTATAATCTAGAGAGGGTACTTTCTAAACTAAATATAAAGCTTCGTACGCTAATACCTCTAAACTTACGGCTCGGTACTATATAACTTTAGGTCTCCCAGACACTACATAACCCTCGAGAAACTAACTTATAGTTAACGCTTATTAAGACTCGTATTATTAACTATTAAAATAGCTTCCCGACTTTAATACTAACTACAGTAAACTAATTTACTAAGGGTATAACGGCTATAATACACCAGGTGGCTCTCCTTCGTGCAGAGGTCTCTTCGCTCCGTAAAGCCAATAAAGTACTAAGTAAGCGCCGGAGAGCCAAAAAAAACACGTATGAGGCTTAGAGGGTCACTTACTATATAAGAGGCACAGGATCTACTAGATCAGAAGGCCGTGGATAGGGAGGAAGTGCAAGAAACGTAGCCGGATAGTAGTAATACAGGGGAAGATCGTACGAGGGTTCGGTGCTATGGTGTGTGCGGCAAGCCTGGCCATAACGCGCGCACTTGCCAGGAGGCTGGGGAATTATCTGATTCAGCCGTTTCTAATATAATTGTAGTTGCTTCCTAGTGTTGTTGCAGTATAATTGAGGATAGTTTGTTACGGTGTGGTGGGAAGTGGGTCACTCGCTTATATAGGTCACTCGCTTATAATATACGTTATCCCGGGCTCTCAGTGTCTTCAAGAGACATTTTTCTCAGTCTAAACACTTACAAAACCTCCTTATTACAAACCAAACTTTTCACAGCCTTCTAAACCCATCACCCTCACTGTCCCGCAAGATCTGCTGAAAACGTATGCATATCTGAGAGGTGTTACTGGGCAAAGACAGGGTTGAGCTTTCTAAAAAGAACTAAAGACTGGAACTACTCTCTGTAATTAAAAGGCCGTGTCGCTAAAATGACCAGCACTAGCAAATTTCGAGCTTGCTGTTTCTCCTAAGTATCACCTAACGGACAATAATCGGAGACTACGACACACTATCGACGCTTGATAGGGAGTAACCAGGACCAAAGTTTGGTGAGTATTCGAGGCCGTTCTGCTTGGCGATATCGAGTTCAAGTTCCACAATGAACATATCAACCAGCGGTCAAACATTAAACTCGAGAAAATTACCACCCTTCATATCCCCCCCAGCTTTATACAAGCCATGCAAACATACATACAATCGCCCCCCAAACCTCTCACCACCCCAATCTACCCCCCTTCTTCCTTACCCCAACCAAAAATGCAAATCAAATGTATTCGCCCAACATATCACCATCATCATCTTCATCCAAAAAGAAGTTTTATGCAATGCACAACCTAGCCAACCTCCCCCCCCCAATAAAGTTCATTTCTATCAAACCCCCACCCCGCTTTTCTATGCTCTACCCCCAACCCCAAGCCCAACCTGCCCCGGCATGGCATTGAACCCAAGCCCACCACCACCACCACCACTACCACCTCCTCCCCCAGAACTACCCGGCGCAGAAGGCATCGTGTTCGTCCCCGTCCTCTCTCTCATCCTCCGGCCTTCCATCAGACCTCTCAAACCCCTCTTCTGCAGTCCAATAACACTGCTCAGGTCACCAGTCCACGGCTCCCTCCCTGTTCCCCGCTCGCTGTCCATCTCGGAGCTCCATTCACTTCCCACGCTAGTGGTGGCGCTCAGCTCATCGCTCGAAGGACGGGCGCCA